TCTCAGCTTCATGGGGAGCTCTGAGGTGCATCTGGGAGAGAGACTGGAAGTCAGGACCTGGCAGGAAGCCAGGGTGGAAATGCTGGCTGTGAGTCGCACCTCTGCCCAGGCATGGCTCTGACTCACCTTGGGCGCAGTCTTGGATGAGCATCCCAAGAGGCAGACACAAACCAAGTGCCAGGGTACAATGGTCTGCAGACTTCCCCGTGGAACCTACTGTCTGCCGGGGATGAGGAAATAGGCACCTGGTATTTAGTGTGCTGAGCAGGGGGTTTTGGAGAGGTTATGGGCTCACAGTGCAGTTCTTTTCTCAGCCTGGGGGGTCAAGGAAGGTTTCTGGGGGAAGCAGTGTCTGAGACCTGAAGGATGAGGAGGACATGGCAAATGCAAGGGTGGGAAGGGCTCCTGGGCAGAGGCACAGCCTGGTCAAAGACCCGGAAGTGGGAGCAGCACAGTGGAGGCTCTGATTGTATGGCTGAAGTATGGGGTGTCGAGAGAGGTGGCAGGAGCCAAAGTCTGCAGGTACTTGTGGGCAGGGTGGGGAGTTTAGACTTTGTCCTAGGACAGCCTCTTTGTTGCTGAGATAGCAGACTCTCCTGGAGATTCAGGGCCTTGTTGGATGCTGTGTTTGGGTCTGTCTTGCTCTTGGGTGGGAGATGCATGAGCTCTGACTCACCCCTTTCTAGCGCTAAGCTCGTGTTACCTGGGGTGGCCCAGACTGTAAGAGCAGGAGCTTGGAGTATTAGCCTCCAAGGGCCAGGGGGGTCCTCCTGTTGGCTTTCACCCCCGGGTCAGAGCTGAGCCCCTGCAGCTGCTGGGAGCAAGCTGGGCACCTCCTCCCTGGCCTGTGTGACCTTGACTCACAACAGTCTTGTTTCTCAGATGAACACACTGAATGCCCTAAGTGGGCTGGTGAGTGGCCCCGGTCTCCTCAGTGGCCATGGCCTGGCCCCCTCACCCTGTGGTGAGGGCTCACTGGATTCTCGTGGGTTGGCCAGCCACTATTGGGCAGGCAGCTGATGGCACTTGGGGGTCAGTGTGTTTTGGAGCTGACATCCCTGGATAGCATGGTGTCTCCATCAGTGCTGAACATCCCAGGCCTTTCTAGCACCTTCCCCTCATGTGTCTGCAAAACACACATGTGGGCTCAGCACTGCTTTATTTGTTTTGGTGCACACTGGTTTCTTCTGTAGAGAGAAAGCACTTCTAATCGTAGATCTTCCTGAAAGCCTCACGGGTCCCAGGCCTTGATATTGACTCTTGCCTTGTCTTTGGCCCAGGGATACCCTGTGAGTCTGGTCAAGGCTTGGTTGCAGCAGAGAAGAGCCTGGAGGAAGGGAAGAGTACACAGAGCATGACAGATGGTCAAGCAGACTTACAGAGCAGGTTGCAGTGTCTGGGACCCGATGTGACTGTGGGTTTCCTTTTGCAGTGTTTCTGCGTCCGTTGTCAGAGGGCTTGCAGCTGGTCCCAGGGTTGAGCTGCTTGCAGGAGCTCCTCATACTTCCCTGCAGCCTTGGGGACTTGGCCCGTAGGTTAGCAGACTGGAAAATGTGGCTTCGTTCCTCTTCCTCACTGTGAGGAAGTCGGGCTGACTTCCACCTGTGGGACAGAGAAGTGGGGGAGGGGCAGAGAAATGGGAGGAAGTGGCTCAGGCCTGCCCCAAGTTGCAGGCTGGGAGGTGCCAGTGGGGTCTCAGAGCTGGGAGTCCCCGCAGCAGCAACCAGAACTAAGCCAGGGGTGGGTTTGCAGGGCCTGGGGAGTCCAGGCCCAGAGGGTGGGGCCCAAGTGGTCAGTGCAGGAGGAAGTATGCCAGGCCTCCCTGCAGGTGGACCTCGTACACCTGCTGGCCCCTGTAGTGAGGCCCCTGCCCTGCCCTCCCTTCCTGTAGGACTGAGGGTCTATGGGGAGAATGGGAGAGGATCACCTGCCAAGTGTTCAGGCAGGGGAAAGGAACTTCCCAGTGCCAATGAGGAAGATATCTATGTCCAGAAAATCCTTGCTCCAAGGTAGTGGGGAGTGTGTTGTTGAAGGGAGGTGTGCACAGAGGGGCCTGGAGTCTTAGTGGCATGTATTGGGGATAAGGAATAAGAGCTTAATCTTAGAGTCAGACAGACGTGGATTCAAGCCCTGGCTCTGCAACACAGGCAAGTTACTTAGCCCCTCTGAGCCTCATCCAGTTCTCCAGTAAAATGGAGGCTAAAATAGCAATGCCCGCCTTATAAGGCTATTGTGCGAATTAAAAGGATGCAAAGCACTTAGGGCCCATCGGGTACAGGTGTACTATTACCACTGCTATTACTACTACTATTAACTACTGCAACTTACTACTACTACTATTATTACTACTACTACTACTACAACTTACTACTACTGCTGCTGCTGCTGCTACTACTACTACCACTACTACTACTACTGCTACTTGCCCTGCTATCTGGGTGTGTCCTCTGCCCACTTCCTCCCAGGTTCCTAGGCATCTTCTGCTCTTCTCCCTGTCCTCCAGACAACGCCTTTCTTTTCTGGAGGTCCCAGGCCTGAGTGTCCTCGCCCTTGGCACTCTTAGCTCTCCAGGGGGGGTGACAGGGAGTCCTTTGCAGCAGGGAGCTTCTGAGGTGATTCAGCCTCCCCCAAACAAGGCTTCTTGATTTCTTTTAAGCAAGTGCCTGTCCCAGCTTCAGAAACTTACTGTGGCATCGTGAATGATGGCCCTCGTTAATGTACAGGGTGGGGGTTTGGAGGCAGACCAGCTGAGCCTGACCATATACAGCTGTGGGTAAGCCCCTGTGAGGCCTGCATCTGGCCTCTGGCCCCTTCTCTGGGCAGGAGCAGCCCTGTCCTGGAGCCCCTTTCACAGACTCTACCATTGTGCCCCCAAACCTAGCAGGAGGCACTGAACAGCCATTCCTGTGCCTGGGCCCCTCCATCAGCGCACACTGGCATGTGTGCCCAGGCCAGCCTGCCATGTGGGTCTTCCTTCCCTTGCTGCAGGCCCCAAGCTCATGGGGGGTAGGCATGAGTGCCTGTGAATGCCCAGGGGCTTGCAGCCCCCTGAAGGCACAGGGGCCTGCTAGGCTTCCCTCATGCACCCCTCCGCTCCTGTTCCCCACCTTCTCCTCAACACATTCTTCCTTCCTCTGTCTTGCTCTGAAGATGTGTAGGTACTTCTAGTTCTCTCAGTTTGATGCTCCCTTGGAGAGGTGGAGCTGGATGGTCCCACCCTGCAGCTTTGCAGAGTGCCTAGGGTGATTTTCAGTCTGGGGTCTAGCTTTTAGGTCTCTGCTCGGAATTAGGTTGGCTGTCAGAAAAAGAGGATTTAAAAGCAAGAGAAAGAGGTTTATTCAAAAAGTTGTTTTTGTGGCCCTCAGCTCTCCCCTCTTGTCCAAGTCTTTTCCCTTCTGCTGGGGGCCGGCATGACTTGGATGTTTCTAGTCTCTGTCTCTCTCCTTCCCCCCAACTTCCAGATAAGAAGACAAAGAGGGTACACGCGGGAAGGTCTCTGTCACTCCCTTCAGGGCCTGGGAGCAGAGGAAGGAAATGGAGGAGGAAGTTACTCCCCTTCTGGGTGCTGGTGAAAGTGAAAGGTAGATAGGGAGGGGGCCTTGTGAGTCACGACAGGCAGGTCAGCGGCTCCCATACTGCAGGGCTGGTAGCTGCGGAAGCGTGCACAGGAGCGATAGCCCTCATTGCAGGGTGTAGCTGGAGCTTGGTACCGCCCAGCCTCTGCCTGTCTCTGCTCTCCACACCCACTGGTTGCCTGGAAACTGCTGGGGCTCTAACAATGACCTGGAGCATCTAGAGGCTGAGGTCGCTGGGATCTGCAGATTTATTCTCCAGAGCTGCCTGAGTTTTCTTCCTGTCTCCTCCCCTCCTAACGTGACTGAGCCGGGACCAGAATCTTACTTGGGCCACATAGCTCCCACACCTCTACCAACTTCCCAGGGGGAAGAAACAAAACAAAACAAAAATCTCTCTGGAGAAAGAAAAAGTCTTTGAAAAAATATGCAGACAGCTATGTCAGTTGTAAAATTCAGGTCTGGATTCTGTTTGTTTTGTAGCAGGATAAATAGAGCAACCCTTCCGAAAAATCAAGTTAGAATACAGAGAAAAACTGTGAGTACTGTAGTCATGACATTATCATGGAGAAGCCTTCTGGACCTAAGTTCTAGCAGTCTGCACCCTGGCAGGGGCTCTTTGGCAGCGTAGGGGGCTCGGGATGGGGGCAGCAGGCAGCTGCTGACCAGCTTCTGGGCTGGATCCTGCCTCCAGCCCTGCCTGGGCTGCAGAACAGGTTCTGTGCTAGTTTCAGAAAGACTCTGGCAGGCAGAGCCCCACCCAGCAGCTCTTCCCAGGGGTGGGGATGGGACTGCACACACCCTTCTGGGGCCTCACCTACATGCCTCAGTGTGAAGGACTGTGTGCCTAGCCCTGGGCCCTGGACTCTGCATGGGCCTGGTGGGGCTCCTGACCCTGGGTCTGCATAGGAGGGGTGGCCATGTTGGGAATGACCCCTGTCCTCTCCACTTCCTGGGTCTGATATGTTCTTGGAGTGTCAGAGGAGGCATTGGCTGGATAGAGATCCTTCTGGGTCTGGTGGGAGGCTACTGCATAGACAGATGTGCAAGGAGGACCAGGCCTTTGGCACTCCTTTTCCCAATCTTGGCCAGAGAGGCTTGGGCTAGATGTCAGCCTCACTTTTCCCCCAAGCGTGTGCCTTTGTGCAGTGTACAAATTACCCAACCAAATGCAACATCCTGGAGCCAACCCCCGAGGGTGAGATAGTGGGATACGAGGAGAGTCACCAAGTGGCTCGGGAGATGCTGTGGATTCTGCTGCCTTCCTAGCAGCTCCTCGAAAGGTCCTTGCTCTTGCCTCGGCAGTGCTGCTCTGTGACACCAGGCGGTGGGACCAGAAGGCCTCGAGGTCTCTTTCTCACAGTTGTGCTGACATCCAGGGCATCTGGGAGGCTGTGGCTGATGGTATCACTCCTCTTCCCTCTGCAGGCCCAGGACGCTGTAGAGCATCATGAACTAGGACGAGTAGACAGCCCAAGAACCCTCCAGAAGAGGAAGGGAGAGCCAGCCGTTCCTTCCCTGTGCTGACCACATCATCCAGCTTCTGCCTCTGCCCCTGCCCTGCCCTCACTGGCCCCTGGACTGCCGGGCTTCCAGCAGGGCCTTTCCCCAGGGAATGGGGAGCTGGTGAAACAGGTCTTACTGCCGTACACCATGAACTTCCAGGCCCAGCCCAAGGCTCAGAACAAGCGGAAGCGTTGTCTCTTTGGGGACCAGGAATCAGCTCCCAAGGAGCAGCCCCCAGCCCTGCAGGCCCCCCAGCAGTCTGTCAGAGTGAAGGAGGAGCAATACGTGGGGCACGAGTGTCCGGCAGGGGCTGCTTCCACCTCTCAGCCTGTGGAACTGCCCCCTCCCAACAGCCTGGCCCTGCTGAACTCTGTGGTGTATGGGCCTGAGCGGACCACAGCAGCCATGTTGTCCCAGCAGGTGGGCTCAGTCAAGTGGCCTAACTCTGTAATGGCTCCTGGGCGGGGCCTGGAGCGTGGAGGAGGTGGGGGTGTCAGTGACAGTGGCTGGCAGCAGCAGCCAGGCCAGCCTCCACCTCACTCAACGTGGAACCGCCACAACCTGTCCCTTTACAGTGGACCCAAGGGGAGCCCTCATCCTGGTGTGGGGGTCTCTACCTACTATAACCACCCTGAGGCACTGAAGCGGGAGAAGGCAGGGGGCCCGCAGCTGGACCGCTATGGAAACGCAGTGCACCCGGTGATGGCACAGAAGGTGCAGCTGGAGGTAGGGCGGCCACAGGCGCCCCTGAACTCTTTCCACACATCCAAGAAACCCCCAAACCAGACGCTGCCTCTGCAACCCTTCCAGCTGGCGTTTGGCCACCAGGTGAATCGGCAGGTGTTCCGGCAGGGCCCACCGCCCCCAAACCCCGTCGCCGCCTTCCCCCCACAGAAGCAGCAGCAGCAGCAGCAGGCAGCCCTACCCCAGATGCAACTTTTTGAGAACTTCTACCCCATGCAGCAGCCGCCCTCTCAGCAGCCCCAGGACTTTGGCCTGCAGCCGGCCGGGCCACTGGGGCAGTCCCACCTGGCTCACCATAGCATGGCACCCTACCCCTTCCCCCCCAACCCTGATTTGAACCCAGAACTGCGCAAGGCCCTCCTGCAGGAGTCAGCCCCGCAGCCTGTGCTACCTCAGGCCCAGATCCCTTTCCCCCGCCGTTCCCGCCGCCTCTCTAAGGAGGGTATCCTGCCTCCCACCACCCTGGATGGGGCTGGCACCCAACCTGGGCAGGAGCCCACAGGCAATCTATTTCTGCATCACTGGCCCCTGCAGCAGCCACTGCCTGGCTCCCTGGGGCAGCCCCATCCTGAAGGTCTAGGTTTCCCCCTGGAGCTGAGAGAGTCACAGCTGCTGCCTGATGGGGAGAGACTGGCACCCAATGGTCGGGAGCGGGAGGCTCCCACCATGGGCAACGAGGACAGCATGAGGGCAGTGGGTACAGGGGACTGTGGGCAGGTGCTACGGGGTGGGGTGATCCAGAGCACACGACGGAGACGCCGGGCATCCCAGGAGGCCAATTTGTTGACCCTGGCCCAGAAGGCAGTGGAGCTGGCCTCACTGCAGAACGCAAAGGTAAGAATGGGGTGGGGTGGGGCTGGAGCTAGTCGGGGGCAGAGGAGAGCAAGTGATGTAGGCCCACGAGGGCAGTTTTCTCAGTGTATTGAAGGAAATGAACCTGTACATTTCAGGGAGTTCTGCACTCCTCACGTGCAAAGAACCCCTAGACAAGTACAGCTATGCTTGAAGGGAAGCTGAGGTTTACACACATGAAGCGTTGGCGGGCAGGAAAGTGTGATACACCACTGTGGGTTAGCTTCTTCACATGGGACATGAAGGATTGGGAGTGGGGGAGGTGAAACCAAGTCAGGTCCAATATGCTAAAAGATAAGGATGTGATGGTGGTTACATGGTGATTACATTGAACTGTAATTAAAAGTGGGTTCCTTGTGTTGTACATAAGTTATGCTGCAGTAAAGTTGATTTTTTTTAAAAAGACAATAATGATGGAGAGGAAGAAGGAACAAAATTTGAACACCTGTGTTGTGCTTGGAGTTCTCTTGTATTTGACCACAAGTAATTTACCAGCCAACCTAATAAGAAGGGAGCATCATTTATCTTCCTTTATAGCTAAAGAAGCTGAGACCCAAGTGGGATTTCCCAAGGTCACATAGCTGGGATATCTCACTCCAAAGCCAGTCTTAGCTCCCTTCCTTCACTAGAGGTCTCAACTCCAATGCCTGTAGAGCTGATACATAGGAGGCTGCAGAATTTGCCCTGTGCTTATAGACAGCCAGACTTTGCTCTAGCCAGCTGCCCTTGGGGAAATAGATACAAAGACCACCCTTCACCTTGCCACAGGTTCCTTGCTTACTTTCTTTTGCCGAGATTTTTTAAAAAATATTTTGAGACTATTTCATGTGCCACCCACTGTGCAGGCCAAATGAAACACATCAGCAAGCCACTTGTGGTTTGGGAGGACCCGGCAGAAGGGAGGTTGTGGAGAGTGTTTAGGAATCTGGTGGGAGAAAATGTGGTCAGGGAAAGGCCAGGTTTTCAAAGACCATTGGGAGCCATCATGGGTGTTTGGGTCCCTGGATTAAGTGGGAGTGGGATCCTGGATCAGCAGATCGGGACCTACTTTTTGAACCTCACTTCCATTCCCCTTACCCCTCTCTTCTCCAGGATGCCAATGGCTCTGAGGAGAAGCGGAAAAGTGTATTGGCCTCAACTACCAAGTGTGGGGTGGAGTTTTCTGAGCCTTCCTTAGCTGCCAAGCGAGCACGAGAAGACAGCGGGATGGTACCCCTCATCATCCCAGTGTCTGTGCCTGTGAGGACTGTGGACCCAACTGAGGCGGCCCAAGCTGGAGGTGTCGATGAGGATGGGAAGTGTCCTGAACAGAACCCCACTGAGCACAAGCCATCGGTCATTGTCACCCGCAGACGGTCCACCCGTATCCCTGGGACAGATGCTCCAGCTCAGGTATGAGAGGCTCCCCATCCAAACATCTCCAGTACCTGAGTGTTCCTCAGGCTAGCACCCTATGGAGAAAGGAGAACTTGGCAGTGTGGGAGAGTTTCAAGGAACTTGTGGCGATACTACTTTTATTTTCCAAACCAAACCTGAACAAATGTATATACGGGGGACAGTGACACAGTTTTATACTTGAAATTAAGACTGGGAAAATCTAGGATGTGTGAATCTCTTTCGTTTCAGATCAGCAGATATTGACTGTGCCCCTAAAATGGGTCAGGCCCTATGCCAGGTACTGGGAAGTAGAGATGTTTGCTTGTACTGTCACTACTTGTGAGATATGTCTTGAAATCTCCCACTAAGACTGAAATTTTATTTCTTCTTTTAGTTCTGTCATTATTTGTTAAACATTTCGATGCAATGTTATTAGGTGCATACTTATTTAGAACTTGATTAGATACTTTATTGTTATGAAATTTCTTCTCATCTTACATAATCTTTTTGCCCTGTAAAGTCTACTTTGATATTTAGTTTTCTTTTGATTAGAGTCTACAGACTGTATCTTTTTCTATCCTTTTACTGTCAGCTTTTCTGTATCCTTCTACTTAGGGTGTATCTCTCAAGTGGCAGATAGTTGGGATTTGTTATTATCCAGTCTTTTAATTAGAGCATTGGTACAGTTTATATCTTTCTTTCTATGAATTATTTATTTTTTAAATTAACAAATAAAATTTGTATATATTAATGGTCTACAATACGATGTTTTGATATATGTATACATTGTGGAACAGATAAAACAAGCTAATTGGCATATCTGTTAACTCACATAACTATTTTTTTGTGGTGGGAACATTTAAAATTTGCTTTCTTAGCAATTTCTGAGTATACAGTACACTGTTATTGATGATAGTCACCATGTTGTACAATAGATCCCCTGAATTTATTTCTACTTTCTAACCAAGATTATGTGTCCTTTGACCATCATCTCCCCAGCCCCCACCCCAACCCCTAGCCCCTGGTAACTACCATTTTACTGTCTGGGTCCATGAGTTCAACTTCTCTAGATTCCTCTGATGTAATTACTGATATACTTGGGTTGAAGTCTGCCATCTACTGTTAGCTTTCTGTTTATCCTATCCTACCTTTCCTATGTTACTTTTTTCTCCTGTTTTGTTTTCCTTTGGATTGATTTGATTTGTTATTCCATTTCCCTACTTTGTTAATTTATTAGTTATAGGGCCGGCCCCATGGCGCACTTGGGAGAGTGCAGCGCTGGGAGCGCAGCGACGCTCCCACCGCGGGTTCGGATCCTATATGGGACTGGCCGGTGCGCTCACTGGCTGAGCGCAGTGCGGGCGACACCAGGCCAAGGGTTGCGATCCCCTTACTGGTCACGAAAAAAGACAAAAAAATTTATTAGTTATATACTTATTTATTTCTCTTTTAGTGATTAGCCTAGCAGTCTTCTTACCTGGATTTTCTGCAAGAAAACTAAGGCCTACAGAAAGGGATTCAAGCGACTATTTAACCAGTTCTTTGACAGATGATACATAGATAGCTAATACCATTCTAGATGTACAGGAAAGAAGTTAACTCATTATGTACAGAAAATGCCTTACGACATTAGGGCTTATTTCTCTGATTAAGAAGGGCTGCTAGTGATTAAAGCGTGCATCCATGGCTTATTGAAATCTAATATGTTAGTACTTTTACCTCTTCCTGGACAGTGCAAAGTACTTAACAGCACTTTAACTCCATTTTCCACCAATCCCTAACATGTAGCATTATAGACGTGCATTTTCATTCTGTATATATTTTAACATAACAGGACATTATAACATTGCTTTGTTCAGTTGTTACTTATTTAGATTTACCCCAGTACTTACCCTTTTTGTTGCTTTCATTTCTTCTCATATCACTAAGCTTCTATCTCACATCATTTATATGCTGCTTAAAAAACATCCTTAGTATTTCCTTTAGTATGAGTCTACTAGTCATGAATTTTATTAGTTTTTGATTATCTGAAAATGTTTTTATTTCATTTTCATTTTTGAAGGATCTCTTTGCTGATTAAGAGAATTCTAGGTTGGTAGTTATTTTCTTTCTTTTTTTTTTTTTTTTTGGCGGCTCTCCTGTATAGGGATCTGAACCCTTGACCTTGGTATTATCAACACCACGCTCTAACCAAGGTAGTTTTTTTTTTTTTTTTTTTTGGCACCTTAAAGATATCATTCCATTGTCTTCAGGCATCCATTGTTCTGACAGTATTGAGAAATCACTGTAAGCTATATTGTTGTTCCTTTGATGTAAGGCTCTTTTTATCTTCGTTGCTTTCAAGATTTTTGTTTGTTTTGGTTTGGTTTTTGTCTTTGATTTTCAGCAGCTTTGCTGTGTTATACCTAAATATATTTTTCTTTGTATTCATCTTGTTTAGAGTTTGTAGTGCTTCTTGAATATCTCTTCTGCTCCGTTTTTCTTTCCTCTCCTTATGGAACTCCAGTTATAAATTTGTTAGACCTTTTTATCATTTTTCCTATTTTATGTGTGTCATGCAGTTTCTAATATTTTCCTTTTTTTTTCAGACCTATTTTTCAGTTTACTAATTCTCTCTTTAGCTGTGTCTGTTACACTGTTAAACCCATTCACTGAGTCCTTATTTATAGTCATTTTATTTTTCTTTTTTTAAAAGATGACCGGTAAGGGGATCTTTAACCCTTGACTTGGTGTTGTCAGCACCATGCTCTCCCATGAGAGCTAACCGGCCATCCCTATATAAGGATCCGAACCCGTGGCCTTGGTGTTATCAGCACCGCACTCTCCCAAGTGAGCCATGGGGTGGCCCTGTCATTTTATTTTTCAATTACCAAATTCCTATTTGGTTTATTTTTAGAGTTTCTAGTTCTTTGATGAAATTCTCTACCTTGCCTTTTATTTTATTGCATAAATTAAGCATAGTTTTCTTAAAGTTTGTGTTTGGTAATTCCATTAATGTATATCTTTTCTATTACCTTTTATTTCTTGTTTTAAAATCACAGGGCCGGCCCGGTGGCGCACTGGATAGTGCGCCGCTTGGGAAGCGCGGTGGCGCTCCTGCTCGAGGGTTCGGATCCCACATACAGACCGGTTCCCGCTCACTGGCTGAGCGAGGCATGGGGGCGACGCTGAGGGTTGCAATCCCGTTGCCGGTCCCCGGTCCGGTACGGGGGCAACACTGAGGACATGGCCAGGGCCTCATAGGGAGCAAGGGCCCCCTGCTGGAAGGTGTTATGGGAGCTAGAGCCTTGGAGTGGGAGAGAGCCTGTTCCCAGGCCCACTCAGTCAACATGGCCAACTTTACCTGTAGTGCTGTGTCCCCGGAGAGATGATGTGAATGCTGCTCACCCCTGTAGGGCTCCGTCCTCTGCCCTTCGGCGTCTCTCCCTGTACAGCCCTGCTTTCTATTCCATATGGAGGCCTTTGAGGCATACCAAGGAGGGACAAGTGTGACTCAGGAGAGCTGTCCTTGGACAGCACGAGTGGGCTGGCCTCTGAGAATAGGACTAATACTATGAGAACAAGAGTTTTGTGAGAACAGGAACCGTCCTATTCCATTTTGTGGTCCCATGCCCAGCTCAGGTCTTGGCACACAGTAGGAGCTTCCATCTAATGCAGAGCCTGGAGTTTAATTAGTGATAACAGCCAAGGTTTATTAATTACTGTGTACCACATAATGTTCCTAGTGATTTCCATGTATTAATTCATTTAGTCCTCCTAGCTACCCATTAGGTAGGCACTCATGATTCTCATGTTAAAAATGAAGATGCATAGAAACACTGAGTAATTGTAAGTAGCAGGTAAAGGCAATAGATCCCAGTCCAAAAAGTCCAGCCCCAGAGCTTGCGCCCTTCACTACTCTACTGTACCCCCTCTTACGCTATTGTGGACTTTACTGCAGGGGTTAGGAAATATGGCCTGGGGGTTAAACCCAGAGCTAAGAATGGTTTTTACATTTTTACGGGATTATTTAAGAAAGAAAAAGGGAAAGAAGAAGAATATGTAACAGAGACCGTATGTGGCCCACAAAGCCTCGAGTATTTACTCTCTGGCCCTTATAGAAACAGTTTGCTGACTTCTGCCCCAGAGGAGACAGTAAGAAGGGCTTTGGAACTGCTCCCTTTTACAGGCTTGCCTTGGTGGGTGTGGTGGGCAGACTGAGTTCCAAAGGTGAGGCTGGCAAGCAGTGGTCAAGACTTCAGTTTTCCCAGGACACAGGAAGCTGAGCCATCTTTGTTCTGCTTCCTTCTCTAGGCTGAGGACATGAATGTCAAGTTGGAGGGGGAGGCTTCTGTGCGGAAACCAAAGCAGCGGCCACGGCCTGAGCCCCTGATCATCCCCACCAAGGCAGGCACCTTCATCGCTCCTCCCATCTACTCCAGCATCACCCCGTACCAGAGCCACCTGCGCTCTCCTGTCCGCCTAGCTGACCACCCCTCTGAGCGGAGCTTTGAGCTGCCCCCCTACACACCACCCCCCATCCTTAGCCCTGTGCGAGAAGGCTCCGGCCTCTACTTCAATGCCATCATATCAACCAGCAGCATCCCAGCCCCTCCTCCCATCACGCCAAAGAGTGCCCATCGCACCCTGCTGCGCTCTAGTAAGTGACTACCCTCGGTGGCCAGGAAATGGGGAGAGGGCACAGGGCAGCTTATGATGCTGCTGGGAATTGGGCTAGAACACTTTGGGAGAAGGGGCTTTGCTCTCTTCTCTGGAGGGAGGAGGAGGTTGTCCTGGTTCAAGAACAGGGTAGGTCAGCCCGACTTCTTGGATTCAAATCTCAGCTCCATCATTTACTACTATATACCCCTGTACAACTTATTTAAATTCCCAGGGCCTCAGTTTCTTCTATATTGAAATGGGGATATTAATAGTACTTAGTTGATGATGAAATTGCCAATATTTAACTATTTTTGGATCCACAAATAGCAGTTTCTTATAATAGCCACCTCCTAGGATTGTGGTGAGGATCAGATGCGTTAGCATGCGTAAAGCCCTTAACATCATGCTTGGTCATCATGTTTGCTTGTGATATGGTCACAGTCATTTTAGCCAAGAGCAGACATTCTGGAAATATTGGGCTGGCCTGGGTGATATATCACAGAAAAATGTTGCCCACTCCACAAAGATCCATTTCTTCTGAAAAGTGGGATAATCCTATGCCTTAGGGTGGTGGAGAGAATTGAGTGGAAGTAGCACATGGGTGCCTTCACCCAGTTAACCTCTGACCCTAACCTCATCCATGGTGTAGCTATCTGGTGCCCCCTGGCGTCTGTGGGTGAGAAATGGTTTGCCCTGGGCTGGCCGGCCTCCAGCCCTCCCACTTCCACGGGAAGCTTCTCTCCCTGGTTTGGTTGTGCAGGAAGAAGTCACTGTAGAGACCAGACTGGCAGGAAAGAAGAGGTCAGTCTGTCCACAAGTGTTTACCGAGCACTTGGGTATAAAGCCTTGACCTGGGTCTTGTGAGGCTCCAAGAATGTATGGGATACCCTAATCTGTTCTAGAGAGTGCAGGGTCTTTAGGGAGTTGACATGAAAGCCTGGGAGACAGAAAAGCAGAGGTTCCCGGCAGTGTGGGATTGGCAGGCAGCCAGTGAGTGTAGCTGACGCTACTAAGCTCCAAAGCCTGCAGAGACTGCTGGCCTGGGATGTTGAGGAAAGCATTCAAGAAGGGGTGAGGCTAGAGCTGAGCATGAACTATGGCAGGGGAGGGGGCTGGGGGTATAAGGCAGAGGAACAAGTGGTGCAAAGGCCTGTAGGTGGGTCCATGCAGGGTGAACAATGGGCTGCGAGGTGGGCTGTTGGCTAGGGCTGAGGGTCCCAGCATGGGGTAGTGGGGAGTTTAGGTAGAAGCAGGAACCGCCTTGAACCCTGAGCGAAGGATTTCAGGTTTTATCTTGCAGAAAGGAGTCAACAAAGATTTTCTTTTTGGTCAAGGGAATGTTTTGATCATGTGGGGCCTTAATCATGTAGGGCCTTAAGAAAATTCACTTAGGAGAAACTGAGGCAGAAAGTCCAGAGAGGAAGTGAGAAGATAATTCTAAAACAGTGATCCCCTTCACCACCTCCCTAGTGTGCCCAAAGTTTCAGCCTCTTTACTAGAAAACCATGGTTTTACATTGGAATTAATTCTGTAGTGTTGGAGCTCCTGGGGACAGGGACATGGCTTTAGTAGTACTAGTAGCTCTCATAATAATAATAGCTAATATTTTTTGAGTGCCAGGCTCTGTGCACTATTTCATGCAATCCTCACATTAACTCTAGGAGATAGGTAGTAATAGCCCCTTTTTGCAGTTGTGAAAACTGAGGCACCAAAATATTTAGTAAAGGGCCTGTGTCATCACAGTTAGCAGGCTGCAGAGCCAGGACTCAGAGTGCCTAAGTTCCAAGGGTAAACTCTGTGAGTCACCATAGTGACTCTCGTGCATACAGGGCAGCCACCCAGGGTTGGGGGTGCTTTGCTGAAGGGAGGTAGGTGCAGTTTACCAGCCTGATCTTTGTCTCATAGACAGCGCTGAAGTCACCCCGCCTGTCCTCTCTGTGATGGGGGAGGCCACCCCAGTGAGCATTGAGCCGTAAGTGCAGCCCTGCCTCTGGCCCATGGCGGGAGGGTGGCCACGTGGGTCCAGGCCCTGGGAGCAAGAGGAGGGTTCTGTGGGGCCCACAGAGGGCTGAGTGGGCCTCTCTGGGCTTCTGTGGTCCGCCCTGGGTTTCTCTGTCCCCACTGTGTTTCTGTGTGGATGTTGCGGGGAAAGGAAAGAACCAGTTCCACTTGAACGTCTGTCGGAGGAGAGTTGGAAGGGTGGTCCACGGACTCTTTCACCATCTATAAACCTGGAGCTGCTTCTCTCCTTTCCACCCTCTGGGCCTTGCCTTTCCAGTGGTACCAGGTGCCAAATTGAACTCATGGTTCCCCAAATTCCCTACACCCAGCTGAGGTCTTGCCACACTCAGCCTCCACTGACTACCCCTCATCTTTTTCCCATCCCCAGAGAGATAGTCAGGTTCTCTGTCCGCACAGGTGAGGCCTCACTCCCTGCCCTTTCCACCCCTTCAGACGGATCAACGTGGGCTCCCGGTTCCAAGCAGAAATCCCCTCAATGAGGGACCGCGCCTTGGCAGCTGCAGACCCCCACAAGGCTGATTTGGTGTGGCAGCCATGGGAGAACCTAGAGAGCAGCCGGGAGAAGCAGAGGCAAGGTGAGGAGGGCCCCAGGAGTGAGCAGGCAAAGGCAGGTTGGTGGGCAGATAGGGGACCAGACCTGGCCTGGCTCCGAATGACATTTCCTCTCCTCCCTCCCCATGCTCCTGTGAATCCAGTGGAAGACCTGCTGACAGCTGCCTGCTCCAGCATTTTCCCTGGCGCTGGCACCAACCAGGAGCTGGCCCTGCACTGTTTGCACGAGTCCAGGGGAGACATCCTGGTGAGATGGTGCCCCCAGCAGGGGGATGGTCCTATAGGGAGGCTGGCATGGATCCAGGCCTATGGCATGCTGATATGAGGCGGGTAGAGGGGTCTGACCAAGTGGCGGCGGAGGTTGTAGGAGCTTGGCCCAAGGGAGCCCTAGTTCCAAACTTCAGATTTTGCTGCGCAGGGGCCTCCCATCCACCCCAATCCCTGATTCTGGGTCAGTGCATCCCCTCCCTCAGACAGGACCATCACTGAGGGCCTTCTCTGTCCATGCTCCCTGCCTTGAGGGACACGGTTCCCTCTTAAGCCCTGTGGCCTGGTTTCTGAGCAGCTCTACCCCCTATGGCCTTTCATCCTGCCAGAACTCCTGTCCCTCAGCATTTAAAGGGGGCAAGAGTAAGTGCCCACCCTTTTTAGAGGCCTGCGGAGGCCCTTTGGATTTTGCCAGGGCCGTGAACTTTCCCTCACATCCCCTCCAGGAGACGCTGAATAAGCTGCTACTGAAGACGCCCCTGCGGCCCTACAACCACCCACTGGCGACTTATCACTACACAGGTGGGCCTGGCTGGGGTTGGCAGGGGGCCTGGAGCCTCAAGGGATCTCCAGCATCAAGGAGATCCCCAAGCCTTGCTCCTAACTCTGTCGCCAAATGGCTGTGTGACCTTAGGCTGTGTGCCTGAGGCTGAGTCACAGGGAGCAGGGAGGTGGGGGGAGGATAAGCCAAGAGCCAGAGCGAGGGGACGGACACCAAAGCTGGGGTAGCTCTTGAGGAGCTTTCTGTGCCCTGGAAGGGAAGGAAGAAGGGGATGGGCAGGCGGGAGCTCATCTAGGCAATAAAGCCCAGGTACAAGGAACAGGAACTCAGGGAGTACTATCCAAACTGGCATCAGGTGCCTGGAACTTAGATGGCCCCGGGAGTGCATGTCCCATTCTGGGCTCTGTACTTTAAGAGGGATATTGACCAAGTCACATAATCCTAGCAGCCACTGTTATCAATCCCTGTTAGTGCTCTGCACAGGCAGAACACGAAGGATTTCACGTGCATTATCTCATCTAGTCCTCACCACAATTGGTGAGATAGGTTCTGTAATTAGTTCCCATTTCACAAGCAAAGGGAGTGAGGCTCCGAGCGACATGACTAGTGAGTGGCAGAAGTGAGCTGGGGAGCCAGCTCTGAATGCCTGCAGAGACTGTGGATGGGCAGCCTCTCACTTTTCTGCTGGCTAGACTTGCCCCCACAGTGCCCACTGTCCTACCCACCTCACTACCCCGGTTCTCTCTCTCCCCTGCAGGCTCCGACCAGTGGAAAATGGCTGAGAGGAAGCTGTTCAACAAGGGCATTGCCATCTACAAGAAGGATTTCTTCCTGGTACAGAAGCTGGTGAGCTGGGGCTCTGTTTCAGGGACAAGTGGGGGCTGGGAGCTGCCTGCGTGACTTGGGGACTCCTTCTGCTAGTGGTGGCCCTGCAGTCACTGACCAAGCCATCTTAAAAAGCAATCAGGTCAATGCCACTAAGGAGACTCAGATAATTTTCTAAATAATACAAGAAGGGAAAAATTAGGCCTTTTATCCCCGTTGATTCTAAACACACTTCCAAGCAGAAGTGGTGTAGCCGTGCTCTGGGGTTTCTGGGAAGGCCTAAGTGGGCATCAGACTTAAAAATAGGCAGGAGGACAAGCTAGGAAGGAGGGCTGCAAGCAGAGGTGAGCTATTCCCCAAGGGAATGTGGGAGGGGAGGTCACCCTAGGGTGAGGGGAACTGAGAGCCAGCAAGTACCTGCGTAGCTGCCCTGGGAGACCTCTGCCCAATTCTCGTCTGACCTAGGGCTTCCTTCCGGTAATTCAGTTAACCAAGCCTAGCCTCCCTAGATTTATCTTGTCCTCTCTCCATATTCTTCTGGAAGAGTGGAGTGCTTTGCTAATATAAGGAATTGCATCTTTCCAGCCCTGTCTCACAAAATCTGGGCTGTGGGGAGAGTGGGCTGTGTGTACACTGAGGGAAGAGTATTTCTAAGAATGCATTCTTTCCTCCTGGGATTGTAGGTTGTGGCAAGAATGGCCCTGGGGACTGGACAAAGTGCTGATGAATTCTCCTATGAGGACCATTTGTGTGTTAGTTATACTGTCTTCCCTGATTGGGCAATATTGCTGGGAAGTACGTGTCCATGAAAATCACTGAAGTGCCCCAATGTCTAGAGAAAAGAACAGGCCATCAGTCAGTCAAACAACCAATAAGAGAATTGACAGTAAAAATGTGAATGGTCTAATTAATAAATGTATGACTTGGCCATTCCTGAAGATGAAATATGTCTGTTTCCTCCTCCAAGCCTAGGCTCCCTAGATTTATCTTGTCCTCTCCCCGTATTCTTCTGGAAGAGTGGCACAGGACCCTCACTGACCCCAGGGTTCTCTGGACAAGAGTTCCCTTTGCTGCAGTGGCTGAGCAGTCTGGGAACCTCTGGGATGGGGTATCAAAGAAAACAGCCTCTGGAAAAGTAGTCCAAAAGCTAAACCAGGTGGCTAAATAGATTTATGGAATGGGAAGGCTAGAATTTCAGAGCTTGAGAGGCCCCTGGACCCCACTTACTGTTTACACATGAAAAAAACTGAAATGAAAAAGGTGAGTGACTTGCCTAAGGTCACACAGCCATTTGGCGACAGAGTTAGGAGCAAGGCTTGGGCTTTCTGTTTCCTCTTCAGGTTTTCCAGGGCTTGCTTGTTAGTTTCCCTTGAGTTTTCCCCTACATAGGACAGTGTGACATTTCTCTATCCTTACTTGTCAGAGGAATGGAAATGTTTGCCTGGATTGATGAAGTCGGGGCAGGGAGGGCAGGATCTATGTTGCCAGGTCTGGGCTGGCTTTGAATATGGATGGTGCCTAGACATTTTCCCCTTCACTTTTAAGTTTGAAAAATTTCAAACTTACAGAAAAGTTGAAAGGACAGTCCAATGGATATCCATTTACCCCTCACATAGACTTACCAAGTGCTAAGCGTTTGCCACATTTGTGCTCTCTCTTTCTCTGTCTTTATCTAACATAGACACACACACACATTTCCTCTTTCTTCCTCTGTTTCAGTGAATCTTTAAAAGTAAGTTACAGACACTCTGTCACATGACTCAAAAGATTTCAGCATGTATCTCCTAAAAACAAGGATATTCTCCTACAAAACCATAGTACCTTTAGTACACCCAAGAAATTTAAACTGATACAGTAATACTCTCTAATATGCAATCCATAGTCACATCTCCCCAGTGGCTCCAGTGTCATCTTTTATAGTTTATTCCTTTGTTTTAAATAGTGCTGAGCATTGGTTAATTTAATTGTTCAGTGGTTTGTTGCAGAGCAGGCATTGGAGAAATGCTTGTATTTCCTGGTTTATTTGGTTTAGTGTTTGGCCTGAGGTTAAGGGGGACATGCAGGGACAAGAAAGGTTGGATTATCCACAGGCAGGTGAGCCAAACCAGCAGGCTCTGACCTCAGTTTTGGCTTTAAACCAGATCCAGACCAAGACTGTGGCCCAGTGTGTGGAGTTCTATTACACCTACAAGAAGCAGGTGAAAATTGGCCGCAACGGGACTCTAACCTTTGGGGATGTGGATACAAGCGACGAGAAGTCAGCCCAGGAAGAGGTTGAAGTGGATATCAAGGTGATGCTTTTCCCAGCCTCAGCTGCCTAAAGCCTGGGCTGGGTCCGGGGCCAGGGCTGAGCTGGGAGGCTGAGGCCCAACTCTCCAGGAACCTGTGGAGGGCAGGCAAGGAAGGCGGTGTCCCTGACAGACCCAAGGGGCTGATGTCCAGGGCCTGGGACCTTTGGGTTCCCCTCTCTATACTGTTGGTGCCATAGGAATAATACATAGTGTTGCTGCAGAACACTGGGGAATTTCCCCACAGTATTTGCACTAGCATCAACTTCTTGTCTCCTCACAGCAGACCTCTAATGCTGTTTCCCAAACTCATTCTTATACCACCTTTGTGATTTCTGCTATATCTGTACCCTGCCATGTGTCACCGGTACTATCTTTGTCATGTCCACATATTACTTGTGCTATACTTAATACTTTCAACTCACTTTTTTACTTAAATAAAAGGAGGGAAGCTTTATATCACAGTCATAAATAGAAAACCAGTATTGTTTGCCATAAATAGAAGGTACTGGTAAAAATAAATATATGTGAAAACCAAGTAATGTTATTAAATTCTGGCTAGATACTGTGTTAATCTACCAAGGCTCTGAGCCTGAGGCCTGACCTCTCTTTGTTAAAGAGATTATGAAGTCCAAAGAAGAGTAAAAGACACATTAACACCACCCTGAGACTTTATCCTTGACATAATCAGGACTGAAAGAGAATTGAAAAGGGAAAGTTATTCTGTGTCCATGCACAGAATTACATCATCTCAGTGTTATATGTCCACACATGGTGACATACTGCTCTAAAACAGAGAGTGGCTTGGTCCCTATTTTGCAGATGGCAAGGGGGTGGAGATACAGAAAGCATTATAAAGGGAGTTTAGAATTGGAGCTTAAGGCACCTACCTGACTCACCAGGCCACTGCCTAAGGCTGTGTCTCCTGGGTACCAGTCCAGTAGAACAGGTGGCTTATGGGGAGGGACTGGTATGCTCCCTCTCTGTCCCTGGCCCTGTATTGAGTGTTCAGTCTCATTCTGAGGGCTCCCAGGGCTCAGGACTCTGTCTTCTATCCCCAGGCAGACTAGCTATGGGAGGGCTGTGACCTGCAACAGAGTCCTAGTACAGGAGACTGTGCTGGGCCAGGCCATGCTAGCAGAGCTGGCAGGGGCTAGTGAACCCCTGGCTGGGTCAGAGTCAGTACACTGTGGCAGCATGACGGAGCTCTAGGCTCACTGCCCTTGTTCTTGTCCCCTGTAGACTTCCCAGAAGTTCCCAAGGGTGCCTCCTCCCAGAAGAGAGTCCCCAAGTGAAGAGAGGCTGGAGCCCAAGAGGGAGGTGAAGGAGCCCAGGAAGGAGGGGGAGGAGGAGGTGCCAGAAATCCAGGAGAAAGGGGAGCAGGAAGAGGGGCGAGAGCGCAGCCGGCGGGCAGCGGCCGTCAAAGCCACACAGACACTACAGGCCAATGAGTCGGTAAGTGTGACCTCCATGTGTGTCCTCCACTTTCTGAGCCCAGGGCCAGGAGGAGGGCTGGAGTTGGGCCTGGGGGTGTGGGAAGGAGAGCAGCAGGAACAGATGATGATGATTATCATCATAGCAGCAAGTGCACAAAGTACTTTATGCTGTTAACTTACTCCTCATAATACTATGTGGTGGGTGCCATTATTATTCCCATTTTACAGCTGAGGAAACTGGGCCCAGGATAACATAGCTAGTAGGCAGCCCAACTCCAGAGTCTGCTATTAATTTTAATACCACACTCCTTCTGTATCTGAGATTCAGAAGAAAAAGGCTTTGTGCAAACCCAGTAGGTATGTGGGACATTGAGGAAGCATTCATGAGTTGTAGCTCAGACAGGGCTTTCCCCAAGAGAGCTGCGTCTCTGACAAGAATGTCTGAAACTGAGCTTAGCTGATAGGAATAACAATGGCCTCTCCTGAATGATCTCTGCAAAGTGCTTTTATTTCCATTATGTTATTAAGTCTTCACAATAATCATATAGAGTGTTAACTCTTATTCTGCAGTTGGGGGAAATGGTGTGAGAGAGGCTCAGTGAGTGGCCAGAGGTCACACCCCAGGTCCTTACACTCTTAGTGCAGTGCTCTGTCCACCACATCACAGGCCCAGAAGCAATACATACCAGCCAGAGCTACTCCTTGTCAGGGAGAGTTCCCCTGAGAAAGGGTAGAAGATGGGAAGGGGTTTGTTGGGGAATTGCTACAAGAGTACTTTTTTTAAAAATTTGTGTTGTATACTTATGCTTGCAGAACTCCCATAAACTGTAAATACACAGCTGTTTGCTCCATTTGAGCTTTGATTGTTCCTGTGCCAAGAGCTTGCTCTTGTGTACACACATTTTATTCTACTGACTTTTGTGAATACTTTCCTATGAGGGTGGGCCCAGTGCACATACTATCACTTCTGATGGCCATCTAGGTCTCCCCTGGCTTGAGCCCCATGCAGCACCTCCTCCAGGTCTCCGCCAGGTGTCCTCTGCCCCTCCGTTTAGTGTTCCTCATGCTGTGCCACACATCTGTCCCTCCACAAGTCCATGAGCTCTCTGAGGGCAGGGGCTCTTGTCTGTCAACCTCTGTATCCCCAGCACTGGCACATTACACTTATAGAATGAAGGCATGAATGGACTAAATGACAGAAAACACAAGCACATGCTTCATTCATGGAGACCCCCCTGGCAGAGGTATCAAGAAGGCCTGTGACAGCTAGGGCTGTCCACCGAATTACTCTCCCAGCAACTGTGGAAACGATAGAGCTGACCAAAGACACAGTGGCCTTCCGGGGAGGCAGCGAATGCCTTGTTCCTGGAAGGAGTCAAGTTGATGCTAGGTGACCATTTGACAAGAGTGTATGACCTTTCAGGGCCCTCCGTTCCCAGAGATGCTGGAATTCCGGATCTGTGCTTGCCCAAACCACTCAACTCCCCTTGTTTGATTCTCTCCAGGCCAATGACATCCTCATCCTCCGGAGCCACGAGTCCAACGCCCCGGGGTCTGCCGGTGGCCAGGCCTCAGAGAAGCCAAGGGAGGGAGCAGGCAAGTCACGAAGGGCACTACCTTTTTCGGAGAAGAAGAAGAAACCAGAGACCTTTAATAAGACCCAGAATCAAGAGAACACATTCCCTTGTAAAAAATGTGGCAGGTAAGACGCCCGCGCGGGGCCCACTAGGACCTGGAGGGCGGGGGCGGGGCCGAGGGGGGGAGGTACTAGGAGCGGCTCCCCCCGTCTTCTGATTGGCCCAGCCAGTTTCCACGGCAGTGACGTCAGGGGCAGCTTTTAGGAGAATAGGGTTCGGGCCGGAGGCGGGGCCGGTGACCGGGCGGCCGGGGGGTCGCGGGCGGAGGCCGGACCCGTCTTGAGCTGCTCCCTCCTTGCTGTAGGGTGTTTTACAAGGTGAAGAGCCGCAGCGCCCACATGAAGAGCCACGCGGAGCAGGAGAAGAAGGCGGCGGCGCTGAAGCAGAAGGAGAAGGAGGCCGCGGCGGCGGCTGCACAGCCGGCCGTGCGGGAGGAGGGTGGCGCGGGCGAGAAGGGCTGAGCGCGCCGGTGGCCGCGGCCCTCCTGGCCGCCGAGCGTCCGCAGACACCTACAACCCCAAGAGCGAGGAGGAGGAGAGAATCGCAGACTCTCTCTGCAAAACAAACAAGGCAGTGAAATAAACGGCTCTTTTACTTAGAAAGGCCTCGGGAGCGGCGTTAGGGGCTGCACGATCCAGTTCTCTTTGCAGTGGGTCTGTCTGTCGGAAGGTGTCCTCATGCCCTCCTGGATCTGTGAGAGGTCTGGTCCCCTCTGGAGGCACCGGCTCCGCGCCGCTCGCCTCACACTCGCGTCTCTGCTGCCTCCTCTGCTGCCGCGCAGTCTCTTCCCGCCTCTTCGCCTCCCCCTCTTCCCCTGAGTCTCCAGGAGGCCACCATGAGAGCCAAGCACAAGCTCACTCCCTTCGCAGCATTGTTCCCTCTCCAGAGGACCTCGAAGGCTGCACAGGCCCTGCCCCAAGCCCCAGAGAAAGGGACTCCCTTGGAGGGAGGGGGGAGGCCGGCTCTGAGAGGGGGCTTAGCTTGATGCCTGTGCTGTCCCTGCACAGCTGTCCTCAGAGAGGCTACCTCCTCCCTGGGACGGAGGCCGAGGACAGGTACTATCCCTTTGCTGCTTGCTAGCAGCCCTGCTGGGCCTGGAAAGGTTTCTCAAACATTTGTGGAAGGGAAGGGAACTGTACAGAGGCTGGTTGCTGCAGGACTAGGCCTGAGGGAGCTTTCGACAAGCCTGGCTCTTTCTGCTTCCCACCTTTTTGCCAAATACCTTTGGGCCCTGGATGCTGCTACGGAAACAGCCTCAAGCAGGTCCTGGAGAGGCCCAGCCTGCTCCTCCTTGGTGCCAACTCCCTGCTTGCTGCTGTCCTGCCCTCAGCAGCTGCCACCTAAACCCACTGCACCCCACCCCATCCAATATTAATGTCCACAGTCTTGCATGCTGGAGATTTCTGGATCCTTCCCTGGGAGGGGGAGGTCTCCTAACTAGATTGGACAGGAGCCTTCATTCCTTGACTCGTGTCATTTGGGAGCTATTTATTTATTCTTAATATTTAATTTTTAACATCCTCTCAGGGACCAGGGGCCTCCTGCTTTTCAGAGGCCCAAGTGCATTTATCCCAAAAACAAGGCACCTTGACACCCCCAGCCCCCACCCCAATCCCCAAGGCCCTAGGGTCCCTCACCTGTTTGCTGTGGAAGCTCTTGCCAATAGGAATGATAGTAGCACTGAAAGAGGGTGGGAAGGTCAAGGGTGACACTAGAAGCCACACAGAACAGCAGGAGGGAGGGAAGTCAAAGGCAGTTATTGCTACCCCTTCTCCAGCTGTACTTTGAATTGCCCGAGGGAATTGGCAGGAGGCCAGAATTCTAGTTTTGTTTATCAGGCCTGGATTCTGGCTTGAAGAAGCCATATTTGGCTTGGAGTCACTGAAGTGAAAGGGCTAGAAGGTTGTGGAGGCCCCTTCACTTGTCAGTCCCATGGAGGGCTGAGTTATTTTTCTGATCTTATTTCCCAACTTTAATTGTGCAAAAGAAGTTATAAATGAATGCATATATGACAGGTCAACATGTTAGAAAGGAGCCAAAAAATATTCATTCTGCTACTCCTTATGAGATAGCCTAAAGGCATCATGTCAGTAACTGAGAGTGGAGAGGGAGTTTTGTTCTTAAACTATGCACTATCAGGTATTTTTCAACATTCTTTTATGCATTAATATGGTTCTACAGGACCCCTGCTATTGGAGTAACAAAATTCTCCCTCCTGACTCCTGGGCTACTACATAGATTTCCAACTTTCCAGCTAATTTCCTTCATAGGCTTCTACAAACTCAGTGTCCTGAGATTGCAAAAATCTGGTGTACCCTCTAGAAGCAGGAGGGTAGCAAATGTAGGCTCTCTTCTAAATCACTTGTGTAATATGAGTGCCTTCACAGCTTAGCCCCAAAGTGCTACTTATGTTTCCCAAGGTTTTTTCTATTTCAACTGTATTTGGTTTCAGGCCCCTTTATGGACATGCAGTAACAGAAACTTCTTTCAGTCACATGAGACCCTTCTGTTCAGTGGTAACACCCAGTACTTAGAAATCTTTTTTGATGAGGAAGTGATTCTACTCTTAGGGGCACAGAGGCCAGACCAGGTGAATGTAGCTGGGGAAAATCAAGATGGTACCTCTGTGTTAATCCCACCAGACACCGTATTTTGGGAGGGTCCATGCTCCAGGAGGCATTTATATCTAGAATGCAACGTGAAAATTAAAATGTTTAGAGGGCAGATGCAATTGTGGCAAGTGACCTGCCAATAAAGTAGGTGCAGCCATAGAAGCTGGCATAGGTATAATGGTGCTTTCTCCCTATGAACACATTAGGCTTGTGTTTTGTGGTTTCCTTCTATTCAGAGCTCTTTGCTTTAAGAAGTTAAATGACAAACACCTCCAGCTTTACAATGTCCTCCCTGTGCCATCTCACCATATCCATCTCCCAGCGTCCATCTGCATTCAGCTAAGGGTGTGAAACTGACCTAGTGCCTGTGTTCCAGACCATTTCTGAGGTCTCTTACCCATCCAAGGAGACAGTGCTGTCATTACTGTCCTCCATGCCTTCAGCAGCCGCCTTCACAGCTAAAGTACGCATCTGTCCCTTCTGCCACCCCAACTCCACCCCTGGCACAGAGGTCTTGTGCTGCTTATCTCTAAAGGGATTGCCTATATTTAACTGCCTCAGTGACCTAACCTCTTTCTTCTCATGTGCCAGATGTTAAGATGAAGGAGGAATATAACACATACTCAAGCCTCAGTTGTTTAAATGTATTTTTACTGGGGCTTACTTTTCTGGGATGGTATTTATTAACAGACTGGCAAGCCTAACTCCTTAGGTTTACAGGAAGTATGCATATTTTTATAAAAAATGTTCTCCCCACATTTTGCTGTGTTGACATTTGCCTCTAACAAACAATTTGCAGCTGTTTCACCTTTTCCTCATTTGTGTCTAAGTTGAAGGCCTTGGTGGAGGGGACAGAGCACAGGAACAGCCTTGACAGTCTGTAAATATTGTACAAATATTTTAATAGCATAAATAACTATATTCCTTTTATTTTGAAACAAAAATGATCAGACACTGCCTTTTGTGTGTTTGCTGCCTGTGGCACCCTTTTTTAAAAAGACTGTTACATATTAAAATAGTGTACATATATATAAATATTACCTCTTTTGCTGTACAGTTGTGATAGACCAGACTGAAGATTTTATTTTTTGTGTGCTTTTTATAAAAAATAATTAATACACTAAAGAGAATCTTGCTGATGTGATTGTAATGTACCTATGTAACTTATTTACTTTTGAATGTTCTTCTGTATCTTTAAACCTTTTATTAAATAAGGTTTTAAAAATTCAGAGTTGAATACTGCGTTCTTTTGGGGAGATTTTCATCATCTGGATTGATGTAAGTAGGCCTTTTGTTTGCAAGGAGGTTTCTCGACATTTTTGAACCATAAGTACTCTGTTTTACCAGTCCATTGTCAATGACGCCAGACCAGGGGAAATATCACACGTGTCTGCCTGACTACAAAGATTACTGAGCAGACACAGATCTTCTTGCAAAATTTTAGACAAGAAAAAGTGTAAACTCAATGTCCCACACAAAAACACGCAAATGCACACTCCGAAGTTTTAGTTTCACTGGAATGAAATAAGGAGGGTGCAGAGTGTGGTCAGGTGGCACGGGGAATCCGGCGTGCTGGGGAGAATATTTCCATATGCAGCACAGACTCGCTGAACGAGCAACCTGAGTAGACAAGTCCACCACGATGCATGCATTTCCAACAATATCATCTTAAATCCACTCCAGAATTAGATTATTTTTAAATACGGTGCTTAGGAGTTTTGGTTTATTGTTTAAAAAAAAAAAAAAAGCTCCGGAAAATCTGAGAAAGGAAATGCGCCATCAAAGAAACAAGTGCCCGAGCCCCTCGCTAGCACCATGGCAACCGCGCGACCCCCCTCAACGCAGGGATCTTGCGTCGTCTGGGACACCGTTGCCATGGCTACGCTCGTGCGGCTCCGCGGCGGGGGGCACGCAGCGCCGCCCTCGCCCCTAGCCTCGCTTCTCCGTCCTCCTGACGCCTCTGCTGCCGCTGTCCTAAGCTGTCCTCGCCGCCCAGAGAGGTTCCCGCGCCCGCGTAGAAGCCATTCGCGGGCTGGCCCCTCGGCCACTGCCGCCTCGGGACAGTCTCTCCCTCCGGGGCGGCAAAGTCCCCGCCTGCCAGGCAGCCGCTCCTCGCCGCCTGAAGGCCGGGCTCCGACCGCGACCGCCCGATCGCCTCCAGGAGGCACGCAGCGCCGCCCTCGCCCCTAGCCTCGCTTCTCCGTCCTCCTGACGCCTCTGCTGCCGCTGTCCTAAGCTGTCCTCGCCGCCCAGAGAGGTTCCCGCGCCCGCGTAGAAGCCATTCGCGGGCTGGCCCCTCGGCCACTGCCGCCTCGGGACAGTCTCTCCCTCCGGGGCGGCAAAGTCCCCGCCTGCCAGGCAGCCGCTCCTCGCCGCCTGAAGGCCGGGCTCCGACCGCGACCGCCCGATCGCCTCCAGGAGCCGCAGCGAATGCCCGGCGACCACGCCCCGCGACCACACCCAGCGGCTCTGCGGCCCGCGGCGCCTGCCTTCGCTTCCCGCCCTCTCTCCTCGCCTTGTGCGCTCCGACGCGACGCCCTGTCTGCAGGCGACAGACCCCGGCCGCCGAGCCCGACCCGAGACGTAAGATGGCGATGGCCGCGTGACTGACCGCCTGAGCTTTCCCGAGGCTCCGCTCCGGGACCGCGCGGGGGGTCCGCCTTTGGGGGCAGGGAGAGGGCGAGAGCAGGACGTTGGTGTCATGTGTTGATTGTCATTGCGTGAAGCTGCCGGCCTCGGGCCTCCTTGGGGCAGTGGCTGGTATCGGTCTCAGTCCTAGAGCGCGGTGAGCCACAGTCTCATCCGTGTTTGTAGAATTGGCGCCCTCGGTATTTGGGGAAATGGCGATGACATTGTTGGAAGACTGGTGCAGGGGGATGGATGTGAACTCCCAGAGAGCGCTGCTGGTCTCGGGGATCCCGGTAAACTGTGATGAGGCTGAGATCGAAGAGACCCTCCAGGCTGCGATGCCCCAGGTGCCCTATCGAGTGCTCGGGAGAATGTTCTGGAGGGAAGAGAATGCTAAAGCAGCCTTGTTGGAGCTCACTGGCGCTGTCGACTACGCTGCGATCCCCAGGGAGATGCCGGGCAAAGGAGGGGTCTGGAAAGTGATCTTTAAGCCCCCGATTTCGGATGCTGAATTTCTAGAAAGGCTACACCTCTTCCTAGCTAGAGAGGGGTGGACCGTGCAAGATGTCGCCCGTGTCCTCGGGTTTCAGAACCCTGCTCCGGCCCCAGGCCCAGAAATGCCAGCAGAGATGCTAAACTATATTTTGGATAATATTATTCAGCCTCTTGTTGAGTCCATATGGTACAAGAAGCTGACGCTGTTCTCGGGGAGGGACATCCCGGGGCCTGGGGAGGAGACCTTTGATGCCTGGCTGGAGCACACTAACGAGGTCATAGAGGAGTGGCAGGTGTCTGATGTAGAGAAGAGGCGGCGATTGCTGGAGAGTCTTAGAGGCCCCGCCGCTGATGTCATTCGCATCCTCAAGAACAACAACCCAGCCATAACCACCGCCGAATGCCTGAAGGCGCTTGAGCAGGTGTTTGGGAGCGTCGAGAGCTCTAGGGATGCGCAGGTCAGATTTCTAAACACTTATCAGAACCCGGGAGAAAAGTTGTCTGCTTATGTCATTCGTCTGGAGCCTCTGCTGCAGAAGGTGGTGGAGAAGGGGGCCATTGATAAAGATAACGTGAACCAGGCCCGCCTGGAGCAGGTCATTGCCGGGGCCAACCACAGCGGGGCTATTCGAAGGCAGCTGTGGTTGGCCGGGGCTGGGGAAGGGCCAGCCCCTAACCTCTTCCAGTTGCTGGTGCAGATCCGCGAGGAGGAGGCCAAAGAGGAAGAGGAGGACGCTGAGGCCGCCCTCCTGCAGTTAGGCCTGGAAGGGCACTTCTGAGTCCCAGGAAAGGGGGCTCTAGTGCAGACCTACATCACATCTGCTTTCGTGGTTCCTGTGCGGTCTTACAGGTGTCTCTGAGTAGTAAAGACTTAGCCGCGTTCTGTTTCTGTTTTTGGTTTTTGGCGGGCGGGGGAGTCAGGCCTGTATATTTGTGTAACATTTGTAAAGTTTTGCAAGTGAGCACCATGAGCAGCTACAACAATACAAATGGGTCATGCTGGCTAAAATGCCAGGGAAAGGCTTGGACACAAGTGTGCAGTGCAAGCTATCATCGTGGCATCATCAGTTGTGAAAATGTGAACCTGTGAAGTTTCCCATCGAGATAATTAAATGAAATTGCATGTTCGGACATGTAGCGCAGGGCCTGGCTCACAGGAAGTGTTCAGTAAAAATGTGAACTGTTCTTACTAATATCATGGATAGTTTGTGTTTACTGTAAATTGTTCCTGATTTATATTAATGGAAAGAAATTTGAATTTATTAGATATTAGCTACTCAACTTTACAATGCAAATTTATTTCTCATCTTTAAACATCAGGGTTAGTTTAATTGAAAAGCTGAGATTACAAAATGGGGTGTTAGAAAAATACTGCAATGATGGAACTGTGTAAATCTATTTTTCACTGTATAAGATACAGATATAAATCACATGTAGAGGTTGATATAAGCCACTTACATTAATCTGTTCACCTATTTCAAATCTTTGTTGTGTAATACTTGTTTATGCTGATTCTAAGGATTCTAAATTTGAAGTTATCAAATAGATGTATATGAATAAAAATATTTTTAAAATTCTATTGTGTTCTCATTTTTCTGACACGTATAGAAGTTTTCAGTGTAATTAAGTCCTGTATCCTTTTTTCTTAAGACTTTCCTCCGTGTCATTAGAAAAAAACTGCAATTTTTTTTTTTACTTTTAAACTTTATACTATATGAGTTTAAATTGCAGTACCTTTTAGTGTATTCAATTTTTACATGTTCTTTTCAAGGCAAATGCTAGAAGGTTAAATAGATGTAAAGTAAAACATTTACTACAAAATTTTAGAAAATCCTGAAATGGGGTTCAGGAGATTATTTAGCAATGTTTTTTTCTCCATTTTTGAATCACTTTTCAGCTAGAAATTTTTGTTTCACTGAATGAATAGATAATTATAACTCATCATACATGTGTAAAATAAGTGTTTTACAGCAGCCATTTTATATCAAGGAGACAAAAAAAGAGAAATATGGCTTAAAAACATGTTTATTTGGCTACAGAGATTCAGTGACTGAAGACATCCATCTTTTGAGATCCTTAGTAAATACAGAAGTGACTCCATAAACATTACATGATCAATGGGGTTTTCCCCTAATAAGTTTTGAAAATTATAGCTGTTGACTCATGTAACAAGCATATGGTACAGAATTTATAAAGCCCAATACTGGTATATATTCTTCCAGATTTTTCTGTATACTCAATCGTGTCTTCACTTCCCAGATCATGTCTGTATCTCCCTCTCTCACTCTCCTTCCCTCACACACATCTCCACATACTTGCCTCCCCCCACCACAGATACACATATCTTCACCCCTCACAAACACTTGCCATGTCTCCTGTCCCCTATCCACAGGCTCACATAGCTTCCCCCTCTGTTCCCACTGGCATCAGGTGCACACACACTCCCCCCACCTCTCATACACCTATCTTCATGCATTCACCCTCACCACCCCCATACTTCATCATAAACACCCCTCCTCCCACTATGCACGCACACTATCCAGTCTCCCAGCCTCCAACATACATTCCGGTTTCTCCCCACACATACACAAACACTCCCACTGCCACCACACGCCACCCAGCCACCATATAAATGTACACACTCTCCATACACACATTTTTTTGGGTGGCTGGCAAGTATGGAGATCCGAACCCTTGACCTGGGTGTTATAAGGCTGCACTCCAACCAACTGAGCTAACCGGCCAGCCAACATATTACATTCTTAAAAACAAATAGGGGTTCTTTTAATTTCTTCACCTGGTATGTTATGGGCACCTGTCTATGTACATAAGAATATGTACCTTCTTTTTATAGCGGCAGAGCTGATTGTATCCTAGGAGGGAAGGTCATCACCTAGAATTCTGACTTTTACTATTTAATTATAACAATTGTATATATCTACACTGCATACATATATATTTAATATAATACATATATAATATAAAACAATGCCAGGATCCTAGATGTCCACCCTTTTTTCTAGGAAACAATGAACTAAAAATAATTTATGATCTGAATTAAGGCTTTCTCTTTACAGGTTCAGAAATAAAAATTTTTCTGCTTTTTAAGAGGACAGCGGCAAGAAACATATCCACATAATCAAAGAACTGTGGAATAACAAGTAGAAACCGCACTACAATCCTATTCTATGACCAAAATTATATTTTGGCTGATAGCTCAGAATATGTGCTGGCAAACGTGTAATGTTACTGATATTGCTGGGTTATTCCTGTTTCTCAATTCAAGGGCCTATCAGCTAAACTTTAAAGTAAGGTGAGAGTTAGGAATGGCCAAGTGCAGTAGTACTTGACCTGGAAGCATTCTTTCCAGGAACCTAATAATTTGAAATGGTGCCCACAGAACTTTTGAGTTTTACAAACCTGGGAGATTTATAAACCTGGGATAGGAGATAATTACTGGTAGTGAACTACTGAAAAAAATTAGCATAAAGAAATGAGCTAGTCTCTCTCTTTCTCTCTCTATCTGTCTCTCTCACACACACACACACACAAACACAAGCTGTGTGGAATGTTATCCAAAAGCTGAATTTCTTCAGGATCAAATATCATTGGAAGTTCACATAGTTGCTCTACTCTATATTAGTTAAACAAATGATCATATCATCAAAAAAGATACAAATTAATTTTTGTACAAAATAACACAATACTATTTTAAAACAAGTCTCACAAAATAACAGAAACTCAACATTTCTAAATAATTTAACATAATAAGTTTAGTCATAAAGTCATGCTACAAAATTCCTGTGTACAAAAGATTACCAAAGTATTACTAGATGTTAAAATGTTCTTCAGAATGGAGTTGGTTCTAGAAGCCAAAGATTCTAGAATGATGCTTATGATCATCATTGACAACCTGGGGAGAAGTAGCCGGCTATAAATATTTTTGCTTCGGCTTCCAACTTGCCAGTCTTTTGATGGGATTGAGCTCTCTAGGTAATAACACCTCAGAAGCAGGTACCCTACCAATCAAAGAAGCAAAGAGCTTCTCACCATGTAATGTTAGCTACAACTTAATTTAGCCAACATGTACATTAACTTTTAAAATCTATATGTGGGAAAGATAATACTACGTTTCTATTCTGAGTAGGAGAACTACTTGGCACATCCCCCAAAGGGATGATCATGGATATAGCAGACATGGAAGATGAGCCAAGTAGGGAAATTGGGAAATCCTGACGCTGATTATACCAATAGACAGCAACTGCTCATGTGAGCTCAGGACGACCAAGGGTGAAGTTTGATTCTCTAACGTCCATGTGCAGACTAGGTATTTACTCATCTGCCCTTTGAAAGTACTTTCCACCAACATCCAGTTCATCATTTTAAAGTGCAAATCTACTGAAAAATAGTTTACTCTCCCCCACCCCCTTGTTAAATTTGCTAGATAATAATTTGGTTGGCTGGTTCCCCTCTAACCTGCCCAATATGGGAAATTAACTAGAATGCAGTTATGACTTCTCCAAGTGTCAAGTGAAGTTTTACCAATGTATCTTAGGTCAGAAAAACGTAAGACTCAGTCTAGTTTTTCCTTTCAGTTTTTTTCCTTTGTACTCACTGATTTATAAAAAGGCAGGAAAAGAGATACAGACATGGTATTTCTAAAAGTTCAGTCATGTTTAAACATAACCCTTAATTTTTAAATTTTTACTTATTTTATGATTTCACAAAAAGAAAATATGATACATGCTAGACTGAAGATAAAGAATACAATCAAGTTAGCTGTGTCAGAAGAAGCACCAACTCTGCTATACTGAATCTTATTTTATATTTCATTATTTACAGACACATTAAACAGCCCAAATAAATTATGTGCCAAAGGAATAAATTTCTGGTAAAGTATAACTTGCATCTTAGCAGTTTTCTCCCTTTACCAATACATACAACAGGTAAGGTCTTAGTGAACTGATTGATGGTCTGACTACATCAGAGAGACACTACGTATTCATGATTGCTGCTTTGACACTTTTCTCCAATTTTTTAGAGTGAATGATTAAGTCCAACCTTTCTGGGTCCTACAATTTTCCATGTATCCCTTAAAAAAAACCCAGGTAGAATTCCAACTCTATTTATACATCACCTACTCTGAGAATAAGTCAATAGTCAAGATTGATTTCTAATTCCTCCATATTTGGCTTCAGACCACTGGTAAAGGTGTCAGAAGAAGCACCTGCACAAGTGGAAATTTTCTTTCCACACAGGAATCACATTCAAGTGCCTTATACCGCCTCTATATGTGGAATGGATCCAGTAACCATACCAAATTATTCACAAGTTGTCATGAGCAGACATTCTTCTGATCACACCCAAAATCGATGTCTACACCAGCTAACTTTCATATATGATTATCATATTTTATACAATATTTTTCCGTATTTAATGATTGCCACAGTCTGTAAAATTCTATGCATCATTAGACAATGAATGACGCTTAAAGAATGATGATCCATTTTCTGAAGTACACTCAAAATATTAAACTTTAGAGACAAAGCAAAATCTATCATAAAGTTGGATTCTGTTGATAGTAACAGAGAGGTAGGTTAATAATTACTGTCCTAAGATAAGAATGCTAAGAAAAAAAAGTTGAGACCCTGCTGAAAAAAGGTAAGTTAAACCTTTCAGCCCTGAGTTCCTAACGTGAAAATTATGAAAATGAGCACTACAAAAAGGGGAAATACCAGTGGCCATCTCTCTCCTTTCATGATTATTAAATATATCACCTTCTCTCATACAACTCAAGTGGCACATGGCTAGAGAGTAAAAGTAAATGGGCCTTGGACAAAAGGAATGTTGGTGTAAAAAACACTGATTCTTAACCAAGGGAGAATCTGTTCTCACCTCCCTTCCCCAGGGTACAGATGGCAATGTCTGGAAACATCTTTTGTTGTCACAACTGGGGACGGGGTTCTACTAGCATCTACTACGTAGAGGCCAGGGATGCTGCTAAATATCCTATGATACACAGGACATCCCCCCACAACAATGAATTATGCAGCCCAAAATGTTAATAGTGCCAAGGTTGAGAACCTCTGGTTTAAAGGAACAAAATCCTACTAACAGAGAACACAAAAGTCTTTCAAGGCCTGGCTGGGAAATATGGCCACAAGCTTAGAGTTAGGGAACATAGAAAAATTAAATTCCTTAGTAGACTAAAATCAAATTTGCTGTGAAAATAAAGATAGTGAACTGATTCCAGAACTTCTACTATCATTTATAAGAATAGGGGTAAGAAATTTAAATGATCCACTTATAGCTTAATTCTTTAAACCAGGAGCACAGAGAGAATCCATTTCAAGTAGTTAAAATATCTAATCCAAGACACATAAACCAAAGGCATTTAATATCAGCTAAATTTGGAGCAGTAAAGGATTTGAGGAATGATTTGAGAAAACATCCTGAACTTCTTCATACACCCTTATCTTCCATTTTCTAATGACATGGATTCTGACTTTGATTCCATGAACAGGGATGCATAGAAGCAATCCAAATATTTGTTGAGTGGAACTGAATATGAATTTTGTGTGAAATGGACACAGAAAAACACCTTAATTTCTCTGAGAACTACTAGTGATTAAGAGACATTAAGAAACAAAGAGAAAACGAGAAAACTAGTTTCTATATTACAGAATTCAGAAAAACCAAATACCAAAACCATAAGCCATTTTACAAATAAATTCAATATGAAGTCAACCATTCCTTATTCCAGGGTAACTCTTAGAAAATATGCCCACATACAGCAATATGGCTTCAAGTGTGCCTACTGGATGAAGTGCAAACTACAAGTAAAGAAGATCATCTTCCCTCTCAGCTTACGGGGACTCAAACATCACCAAGGAAAATGAACCTACAGTTCACAAAAGATATGCCCAGAGGCTTTGATGTATAAGCCAGTCAGAGCAAAGGTTTCTTCCTATCAGATTGAAAGAAAGAGCTAAAAGGAAGCTAGAAAGATATTAGACTAAGTTTTCCTCTTGTTTGTATTTAGGGTTGATTGTCAAAGCAGTGGTCCCTTTTGATCAGAGTGACTCTTAGAAAAATCAAGTAATTCCTACTTAAATGATACTGAAAACTTCTGAAACCAAGGGCTACTTATGCCAATCACTTTTTAAAAAATGATTTTCCCCTCTTTCACTGTGATTTTATGCAAGTAAAATCACACAAGTAGATGGGGAAACAAGAATCAATAGTCTCTGGTTGAGGGATTTTAGGCACAATTTGGCAGAGGGCTCCTGACTTCTTTTCTGCAATCCATGAATGATTCAGTCATGGTCTGCTATGGTTAGTGACTGCATCTGCATCTGGTTACTGACTACAATGCCTTGCATTTTCCAGAAAAAAAAATCTTCTTACATGATAAATTCTAATCTCTGCATCTAACTATTGCTTTGCAATTTTGAGGTTAAATCACCTACAGTGCTTCATATAGGAGGCAATCCTCAAACACATTGCCATTTGCCTGCGATCCTATAATAAAATATCTCTTCTCTCTTCCCTCCACAACCACTTACATAATACATTTTAAAAGCTGTTTAACTTAGAACTTCTCAAAAGTACACCTTGAAATACTAAGGTTTCATTTACTGAAAGGTACTAAATTCAATCTCTATGTCTGTACACTTATAACCATAACAATCACTTTTCCCAGCATTGAGGATCACCAGACCAAATTCATTAGGGTAGATTTTGACATATACCAATGGCCAACATTTAGGCTGAGAATTCACATATGACTACTGCTTTAAACATAAGGAACTACAAGCCAAAAAGTGTGCTTAAGGCCAGGTCCACATGAGTACCATGGCCACATTACTGGTCAAAGGCGTGATCATGACAGTCATTTTAACCACTGACCTGGATCAAAGAATGACTGATTGTACACAATGACTCAAGCGGCCATGCATGTAAACACAACCTAAATTCCAGTTGACAATGCACACATTTTTAGAAAAACAATTAAATATAACATGGGCTAGAAGGCCTCCAAGATATTCATTTTTCCTTTTTTCACCATAGCTATTCCAATTGGGCTTTGGCATCCTGGCTCTAGGGCTGCTGCTGTATTTCTAAGAGGAACTCTTCCCATCACCCTTCTGCCTTCTGAACAAAGGCATGATACATTTGTGCTTCTAAATCAAAGGAGATGGACCTTCAGGAAAAATGTTCTACAGATTCAAAAGTATATCTCTTCAAATGCCTGGCCAAAAAAAAAGACCAAACAAACAACTAACAAACTGAATAAAGAACATTTGTTCCTTTGTTGTTAAAAATGACTGGCCAATAAAGGTTTCAGTAGATGGGGCCACGCAGCACATAACTGCGAATGAAGACAAAAATGGAAAATTTGTAGTTTCTAAAAAGAGAACTAGAATATATAAAGTTAGCATTACTGGTGTTGGGGAGAAACACTGAATAGGTTAAGGGAATAAAAAAGAGATTTGTGTTATTTTAAGAACCTTTTGCCCCACACAGAAACTTTAAAGTAGACAATTATACAAAACTTATCTATTGTTCTTATGACATTTAAATAAATTAACACAAAGTGAAAAACCCGGTGTTAGTTTTCCTCTTCTTCATCCTCTTTAATTACTGGAGTACCTAAAATGGAAAAGAAAATTATTTCTGGTCATTCTTAACTGATTGTTAAAATTCTAGATGAAAGTATTTTACTGTTAAACTGAGAAGCTCTGAGATGCTGTGAAGTGTGCCATAATAAAAATAATTTCATAAAATAATATCCTTAATTTCAAATTCTCTTTAAAAAGCCTCTCAGGAGAATTCTCAAATGGATTAATATAAATACTTATGAATATTCAGCTCCCAAATGCAGAGTTGCAAATAAAAATGCCTATAAGCGCTGGGACTGCAGCAGCGCTCCCGCCGAGGGTTCGGATCCTATATAGCGATGGCCAGGGCACTCACTGGCTGAGCGCGGTACGGCCGGTCTCAAAAAAAAAAGGACAAAAAAAATGCCTATAAGTGCCAGGCAGAAAAATAAAGCACTGTACATATTAAAAACTTTCTATGTTAAACAAAAAGAAATATCATTTTTCACAATATGTAATCGTATTATCATCAGAAATTCGAATTTTTATGTGAATTCCCCCGATTATTAAACAGTGGGGATAAAGTGAAAAAAGTAAAGAATCATTGCAGAGAAAAGAAAACATACAACCACCCATTTCTGAGCTCTAACATTTGAAGCCACAATCTGACCCCAACCAACTATTCAGTCTTAAATCTTCAACCATTCACCCCTCACTCCTGCTAAACTGATCAATTCACTGTTTCCCAAACTCATTTTGTGCACTCTTACCTCTGGACTCTTGGTTAACGAAGTTCTTCCATTTTGGAATGCCTTCCCAACTCTCCTCTCATCTAAACCCTACTCTTACTTAAGAACCAACTCCAGTGCCTCTTCCTCTGTGATGCTTTCCAAGATGTACATTTATGTTCTTTATGGCAGTGAGCATAGTTTTACCTCTTCCCACAGCATCTGGTTATGGGAAGAGTGAACTTTTTATTGAAGCATAACATGCAAAGTGCACAAATTTTAAGTGTACACAGATTGATAAATGTTCATAAAGTGAACACATTTGGTAACGCAGCACCAAGATTTAAGAGAACATTATCACAACCCCCAAAACTTCCTCAGGCCCCCTGCTAGTCACTACCCCCTCAAAAGTATATTCTATCCTAATATCTAACTCCATGGACTATTTACCTGTTTTTGAAATTCATATGAATAGGAATGATATAGTACGCACACTGTATCAGGCTTCTTTTGCTGAACATTATGTTGGTATGATGCCCCATGTTGTGTGAAGTTGTAGTTCATTCATTCTCATTGTTGTTTAATATTCCATTGTATGAATATGCCATCATTTATTCATCTATTGTATTGTTGATAGACCATTAGGTTATTTCTAATTTTTAGCTATTAAAATTGTGTTGCTATGAATATCCTCATACGTGTCTTACATGTCTTCCAGTAAACACACATACCCTTTTCTTTTGGGTGTATGGCTAGGAGAAAAATTGCTGTGTCACAAGGGATGTGCATGTAGATCTTTTTTTTTTTTTTTTAATTTTTTAATTTTGGCAGCTGGCCCCTAGGAGGATCCGAACTCTTGACCTTGGGGTAAATAACGCTGCACTCTAAACAACTGAGCTAACTGGCCAGCCCTGCATGTAGATCTTTTATAGATAATTCCAGTTTTCCAAAGTGGTTATACCAAGTTACATTACCATCCCAGCAGGAAATAGGTTCTAGCTGTTTTAGCTGGTGTTCTAGCTCCTCACTAGCATTTGGTATTGCCTGCCTTTTTCATTTTAGCTTTTTTAAATCCCTCAGTTTTTCTTATAAGCAACAGAAGAGGAGCAAAATTAGGCAAGTTAGCAGCTGTGGCCATCTCTGTTCTGGTCTATCCCACTGGCTTAGAATAGACCAAGGTGGTTCTTCTAGGGGATGTTCAGATAGGCCTGAGGTCAGCACTTGTCCCAAAGGCCATAATGTGGCTTGGTCTATTCGGGGTTACGAAAGGCATTCTGTTCCATTCTTTTTGTTTTGTTTTTGGCGGCTGGCAGTACAGGGATCTGAACCCTTGACCTTGGTGTTATAACACTGTGCTCCAACTAACTGAGCTAACCGGCCAGCCCTCCCCTGCTCCATTCTTTTTTTTAAAAGATGACCGGTAAGGTGATCTTAATCCTTGACTTGGTGTTGTCAGCACCACGCTCTCCAAAGTGAGCCAACCGGCCATCCCTATATGGGATCTAAAACCGTGGCGTTGGTGTTGTCAGCACCTCACTCTCCCAAGGGAGCCACGGGCCGGCCCTCCCTGCTCCATTCTTAAGGGAAGGGGTTCACTTCCTGTGTGTAGCCTTGAAGGAAGTAAAAGCAAATGCTTTCAAATGGTTTCTAGAGTCCGACCAAAGGTGAACATAAAAAGGCTGAAGTTCAAGATTCCAATGTCTCTACTCTCTCTCTCTCTCTTTTTAAAATTATGAAATATTCATATGCTTACAGTATATCATTTAAAGAGTATCAAAACCAATGATTTGTATACTCACCATCTAATTTAGGAAGTAGAACACTACCAGAATGTTAAAAGCCTGTTTGCCTCTTCCTGATTATTACTGTACCTCCCCCATAAGAGGTAATCTACTGTCTTTGTCATTTTATCACCAGAGGGAGAAAAAAAAAAAAAAAAAAAAAAAAACATTCTGCCTCATTCCATTTATATAAAATGCTGGAAATTGGAAAACACAAATTAATCTATAGGGTCAGAAAGCAGATCAGTGATTGCCTTGAGAGGGATGGTGGCAAAGAGCAAGATTACAAAGAGGCACAAGGAAACTTTTGGGGGTAATGCACATCTTCATTATCATGACTGTGGGATGGTTTCACAGGCATACACAAATGTCAAAACTTATTGAATTGTACAGCTTTAAATATGCACAGTTAACTGTGTGTCAATTATACTTCAATCAAACTGTTAAAATTTTTATGGTTTAGAAAAAGAGCTATTTAAGAGAATTTTAGGGCAATATTTCTCAACTGGAGGACAGATGAGCACATCTCTTCCTAGGGAGGCATATCAGAATCACCTGAACAATTTTTTCAAACTACGTACATCTACTTCACTCTCTCCCTAGAGATTCTGAAATGTCCCTCCACAGGGATGCAGCCCCATTTAAGAATAACTGCCATAGTAAGTTGGGATAGATAAAGGTTTGAGTACTGGCTTTAAATAGCTGTGCTAAGAGAGGGATGAAGAGACACAGAACAGGACTAAAACAATGGAGCACAGAGAAGCAAGGGTAAGGAGGAGGGAAGAGAAGCGTTGACAGGCAAGGAAATCTCAACCACAGACAACTAGGTCCTTTCTTCTGGGTGTGACTATCAGCATGAGCACGGTGAGGAAGACAACAGGAGAATATGCATTTGGTACACAGTATGATGATGAAGATGGACTTGTTATTACTTATTTTTTTCTTCTAAGTATTTTCCTTTCCCTCATTCATTCATGTAGCCTAATTAGCTCCATGCATCATCACTTCAGGGCAGTACAGAAAGCAAAAACAGACCATATGACTTACTGGCTTTTGTCCTTGAAAAGGCTAAGACGACCACTGAGAAGACATAGTTTATGAGTGCAGAATGATGTAAAGAAGGAGAGAAATGGTGATTTGTTTTTGAACTAAAACAGTATTTCCCTGGGCTGGCAGTGGAGAGGGAGGTCTGGGAGTTCTGGAACAGTAGGAATCCTGGCCTTGCTCCCTGATAGCCCTACTGGGAGAAGATCAGATCCAGAGTGGAATGACTATGTTTTATCTAGGGAGATAATCCTACAGCTATCAAGAATCTCATTCTCAAAAAAAGCACTCTCATAACCCAAGTGTAGCATGGATGTGGCAGGGAGCCGGCAGGAGGAATCCTAAAGGGACCTTGGGAATAGAGACAATAGATACCTCAGTGGTAACCTTTGGTGATGGTTGACTGATGACCAAAGGACCTCACCTCATGAGTTGGCCCTAGAATGGTGGCATAATCCCAGGGGAAAACTTAAGCATGACAGATTAAGTTTCTTAACAGCCCAGCTGAATTGAATTAGGGAGATAGTATTCAAAGTTAAAATTAGTTCATTTATATTTAAATATTTCTTTTTTTTTTTTCCTTTTTGTCTTTTTTCGTGACCGGTAACGGGATCGTAACCCTCGGTGTCGCACCCGCACCATGCTCAACCAGTGAGCGGACCGGTCTCTATATGGGATCCGAACCCTCGGCGGGAGTGCTGCCGCGCTCCCAAGCGCCGCACTCTACCGAGTGCGCCACTGGGCCGGCCCTTAAATATTTCTTATACATTTGAGTTTGAGGGTTGTTATTAAAATATTCTGGGCTGGCTTGTTAGTTCAGTTGGTTAGAATGCAGTGTTGGTAACACCAAGGTCAAGGGTTTGGATCCCCATACCAGATAGCTGCCAAAAAAAAAATCTAAAATGATTATAATAATGATAATAACCCAAAAATAAAATTTTTGAATATTTACTTTGTGCAAACAACAATGTTTAACATAAACTATCGCAATGTTTCACATAGATTATTCACTTAATCCTCATAACAACACTATGATGTATACTCTAAAATGATTACTCATAGTACTATCATCATCTCCAGTTTTTACATTACAAATGAATAAGATTTGGTGAGATTAATTAATTAGCTCAATTTCACCAAAGCTATTAAGTGGTGAAGCTGGGACTTGAGCCAGTCAGTAGGGATATCTACTAATATTCACACCAATCTTACATATTGGGAAACTAAAATGGGGGTCCAGAGGTTGTGAGAGAGCACACCTCAATTTTGAGCCAACTGTAAACAAGCAACAGTTTATCATTTATGTGTAATTATACTGCAAAGTAATACCTCTGTGACTTGAGAATAAATAAGCCTAGCTTTTCTTTTTCTTAAAACTGTCTTAAATGAGCTAGTTTATTTTTATCTTACATAAAAGTCCAAGTAGATCATCATGGAACTTTGTGCTGTCAGGAAGTCAAGATCTTTCCTTATTACGTGTGTGAACTTTTTGTGATACAGGGCACCCTCTTGGTTACAGATGCTAATTTAATAATCACTTTTTATCCTCAGTGGGATGCCAAGCTCAATAAGTAGTTGCTTAATAAGTATTTGTTGACTGGATTAATGAATGAAAGAAAAAGTTTGGAAACTATTGCTGTTACACTTTTGGCTGTGCTTCAATAGACATCCTAACATATGCTGGATGGCAAGAAATCCCCTCACACATTTATAAGGCCTACCTTTCTTACAAGCTTTTGGTCTAGGGATGATCTTGTACCAGTCTAAATGTCCTATATGAGTTTTCATTCACCTAGGACCTAAACCTGGACCATTAAATTTCATTTGGACAGAAATGGCCTTGAAGATGAGGGACAACCTATCATTTTCTTCTAGTTTTTCTCTTTTTCATGATTCCATGCCACAAATTCAATTTTTCTACTCAGAAAACATTTCCAAGCCAGCTCAGAGTCACTCACCATCTAGCTTTTTCAGTTTGGGCACTCTCTTGGTTGCCTCTTCAATCCAGTTGCTTTCAGCAGAATGTTTCTCTTCCAAGGGATTGCCTACAAACACCAGGTCTTCCAGGCATGGCAGTTCTGCCAGCTTCACAAATTCAGCTACAAATACAAAGAATATTTTCTATATTAAAATGGCAAGTTAGAATTAAAAAGAAAAAAGTTAGAATTTTTTTAAAAAGTTAGAATTTTGGGGACTGAATTCCAATATCACTAACCCTCAGTTTTAGTAATCAGGACAATTAGTTGTTTAAGATTTTGAAGGAAGTTAGGAAAGTTATATGAAGTCATTCTCAGGAGACATTACAGGATGAGAGGGAACAAAAAGACATACCTCTTCTACCTTTGAGGCTAGCTTAAGGATGGGTTAAGAAGAGGAGATGAGGTTCAGAGTCAAAAAGAACAACAAATCAATCTCCAGTGACAGGTCTTCTCTATGCTATGCTACATCAGTGCAGTCTGAGCTAAACTGCCTTTGAGTCTACTCATTCCCTCACCTTTGAATTCTTAAGGCAACTAATTCAAATCTCTATAGCAGAACTTATCACACAGTTTTATAATGATTAGCTTATAAACTAATTTTCCCCACTAAGCTGGGAACTCCTTGAGAGCAGGGATAGTGTCATATTCAACTACATATCTCAAGAACCTGGCATAGTTCATGACATATAAAAGGCCTTTAGGAAATGCTGAATGAATAATGTAAAGCAAATAAAAATTTTAAATGCAAAGCAATATGGATAACAAATAAGTCCTCTGCCCAAGAACTATTATATTTAAACTGATTCCTTCAGCTTTTGGACAGTAACAAATTTTTCTCATGAACCTTAAACTTAAATTTTTTTCAGGAAAAGAATCTATCCGATTATATTAATTCTAAGTAAATATCCTGAGTAAATATTTAAAAATAAATTTCAAGCATTTAGAATTTAAGAACTCCTATAGTTATTTCTGTAGGAAACATAGGAACTCCTATAGCTATTTATCGCTGTGCTTAGAAATAAATGTTCCCATTTTGCATCTTCTTCCCTTTTGGGCTATTTTCTACAGGTAGGAGGTAGAAGGTTAGAATAGCCACCCTCAGCTTACCCCAGTCTTTCACCAGATTATTAGACATGTAGAGAATCTTCAATTTCTTCATTACATGTATCCCTTTCAACTTCTCAATAAAATTGTAAGAGATCCACAGTTCTTCTAACGTGTCCCCTACCGCTTCCTGGAAAAGAAAGAAATCTAATTTATATGCTTATTTTTAACCTCTTCCTTCTGTCTCCTTCCTTATAAACATAGAGACAAGGGCTTTCAAAGAGAGAGAATGCCCACCTGTCCATTTGTAGGAGATCCTGACAGCTGAGTGGAAGTTTTTTCTCATTAAGTAGCCAAGTAGAACATTCTCTGCCCCTCTTCAAACTGATCTGAACTATTCCTTCTCTGACTGCTTCACTAAGCAAAAACTCACGAAACACCATACGAAGAATAGCTACTGCAAATCACCAACAGGAGAAATAATAGCACTATTTTATCACTTTTATTGAACGTCATAGTTTTCAAAGTACCTTCCTTTAGATTATATTATTTGGTCCTTCAACATTTAAAGTAGACAAGGTAAATTATTTGATTTCTATGATAGAGATTAAAGGCTTTTTCTATGATCACACTGCTGTTGAATAGTAGAGTTAGATCTAAAATTCAGGGTTTTCCCCAACATTTATTATGAAAATTTTCAAACATAAAATAGTCAAAATAATTTTGTATTAAACACCTATATATCCACTATCCTGAGTCTACTGTTGACATTTTGCTATACTTGTCCTATCATGCATCTATCCATCTATTCATCCCACCATCCCACTATCCATCCATCAATTCATCTTACCTTTTTGATTAATAAAATTCAGTTTTAAACTCCTAGTCTTTCCATTCTAGTATAAAGGTTATATCATACTGCCTCTTAAATGCTAGTTATAATCAATAGTTGCACAGACTTTTCTTTCTTTTATAGGCATAAGACAAATGTAGTGAATTTGTTTTCCCTAAAAACAAACAAACAAAAACAAAAAAAGTACTAAGCAGGATTAATTAAATGTTCAATACCCTCTTATCCCCCCAAAATCTACCTACATAAACATGGCAATGTCTAGAACGTGGGCCACAAGTCTATGTGCTCATAATTGTCCCTTCATATAGAGAGAACAAATGGACCCTGGATGAAGATCCTCAATGCATTTTCCACACTGGTGGAAACAAGGGGAAAAGCTGAGAATGGGATTGCCTGAGTTAGCTCTACGTGTCATCCCAATCCCCACAATTCATCTTAGTTTCAACCATCCAAGTAGAAGAAACACACTTTCAAAGTAAAAGAAACATTTCAATCAGTCCATCTTGGCACTAATATATCAGAAATTTGTGATTAACCAAGCCCTCTCAACTAGTATTTTGGCATCTCCTCTCAAAGGATTTAATTACTATATCATATATATCTTTTGGAAGAGAGGAATCAACCTTTTCTTTCTTTCTTTCTTTCTTTTTTTTTGGCAGCTGGCCAGTACAGGGATCGAATCCTGGACCTTGGTGTTATCAGTACCATGCTCTAGCCAACTGAGCTAACCAGCCAGCCCTGACAATTTAAACTTTATTGCATATATTTTCTCTGTTTTTTTTTCTTTTTTTTTTTTTTTGTCTTTTTTCGTGACCGGCAACGGATCGCAACCCTCAGTGTTGCGCCCGTACCGGACCAGGACCAGCAACGGCATTGCAACCCTCGGTGTTGCGCCCGCACCTCGCTCAGCCAGTGAGCAGCCGGTCTGTACGTGGGATCCGAACCCTCGGCGGGAGGGCCGCCGCGCTCCCAAGCGGCGCACTGTAGCAGTGCGCCACCGGGCCAGCCCCTATTGCATATATTTTCAATGCTTTGGATCCCCATCCTTCTCATGTCTTCAATTTATAAGGTGTGAGGTAGCAGGAAAAAAATACTGATTAAATACTAATTAGTAGATTTAGGCTCAGTTCTGGGTTCTGCCATTTATAATGTCATTTTACATATGCAGGTGAAAACTATTGGTCGATTTCACATATCCAATTTGATCAATTATCCAAATTGCCAATTTGCTGAATTTACTCTTTTACTGATTTACCAAAAATGTTTACTTAAAAATTATAGCAATTTGTTTTAGATAGGATAGGATAGAGTAAGATAAGACAGAAATTCTTTTAAATAGGATAGGTTTTGAAGCTGTCTCTGGTGCTTTGTGCACTCATTTGAAGTGTTAATTTACTTTTGGTTTAGCTTTTAGCCATTTAGAAGCAGCTGTTTTGCCATGACCAAATTTCAGTGCATTTGGGGACTTTACTTGATAATATGACTTTGTGGAACCAGCATTTCTTATGCATATTGAATTATAAGTATATAGATTTTGGATGTCCAGGGCATAGTTTTATCTTCCAAATATTTTCAATCTATATCACTGCCTTTTGTACTTCCTTACATATCAAAATGTGTTAACCAGCTCAGACTAGATTACTATTTGGTTTTTTTTGTTTTGTTTTGTTTTGTTTTTAAAAAAAGATGACCGGTAAGGGGATCTTAACCCTCGACTTGGTGTTGTCAGCACCACGCTCAGCCAGTGAGCGAACCGGCCATCCCTATATGGGATCCGAACCCGTGGCCTTGGTGTTATCAGCACCGCACTCTACCGAGTGAGCCACAGGCCGGCCCTAGATTACTATTTGTATGTGTATTAATCATTTGAGAAGTGAACAGTGTCTAAAATATCTAAGTGACATTCAACAAAGATGGACTGATAAATCCAACAGCTGGGATGAAACTGCAGTAAAATTAACATTAAATAAAACTTTAAAGAATATTTCAAAAGGTGTTGAAACCATTCCAAACAACACAATTTCCTGTATATACTTGTATTTGTAAATAGGTAATAAAGACAAAATTTTGGTGAAGCAATTTAGAGAATATAAATGAGTAAAACCTGGAGAAATTTAGGTGAATCAATTCAGTGAAATCTATCATTCAATAAACCGACCCTTTGGAGAACTGGACATTGAGTGAACAGCAGATTGGTCTGGTTCTGCATGTGAACAAATCATTTCCCCCCTCAGTTTCTTTCTTTGTAAAATAAGGATACTGGCACAATAAGAAACTGCCTCATGCCCATTTGGATGGCTACTATCAAAAAAACCCAGAAAATAGTAAACGTTGGTGAGGATGTCGAGAAATTGGAACCCCTGAGCACTGTTGGTGGGGAATGTAAAGTGGGGCAGCCACTATAAAAAACAGTATGGCAGTTCCTCAAAAAATTAAAAATAGAATTATCATATGATCTGACAATTCCACTTCTGGGTATATACCTAAAAGAAATGAAATTGGGGTCTCAAAGACATATTTGTACACCCAAGTTCATAACAGCATTATTCACAATAGCCAAAAGGTGCAAGCAACCCAAATGTCTGTCAACAGATGAATGGATAAACAAAATGTGATATATACTTACTATAATAGCATATTGTTGAACATTAAAAAGAAAGGAAATTCTGACACATGCTACAACATGAATGAACCTTGAGTACGTTATGCTAAATTAAACAAGCCAATCACAAAAAGACAAATACTGTGTGATTCTACTTATATGAAGTATCTAGAGTAGTTAAAGTCGTAGAGACAGAAAGTAGAATGGTGGTTACCAGGGGTGGGGGAAGGAAGTAAAGGGAAGTAAGGGTGTATGCATGTAGAGGTTCAGTTTCAGAAGTACCTCAACATAATAAAGGCCATATATGACAAAACCACAGCTAATATTATACAAAACAGGGAAAAGCTGAAAGTTTTTCCTCTAAGAACAGGAATGAGACAAGGATGCCCACATTCGCCACTCTTACTCAACATAGTACTGAAAGTTCTAACCAGAACAATTAGTCAAGAAAAAGAAATAAAGGGCATCCAAATTGGAAAAGAGTAAGTCAAATAGTCTGTGTTTGCAGACAACATGTAGAAAAACACAAAGACTCCACAAAAAAATTCTCAGAACTGATAAATGAATTCAGTAAACTTTCAGGATACAAAATCAACATACAAAAACAACAAACTAGCTGAAAAAGAGATCAAGAAAGCAATCCCACTTACAATAGGTGCAAAAAAAATTTAAAACAAACAAACAAAAACACACCTAGGAATAAATTTAACCAAGGGATTGATGGGTTAGCTCAGTTGGTTAGAGTGAGGCCTTATAATGATGCCAAGATAACGGGTTTGGATCCCTGTACCAGCCAATTGCCAAAAAAGTAAAAAGAAAAAAACTTAACCAAGGAGGTGAAAGGTCTCTACAATGAAAACTATAAAACACTGATGAAAGAAATTAAAGAGGACACAAAAAAATGAAAAAACATTCCACCCTTACGGATTGGAAGAATTAATATTACCAAAATGATCATACTACCCAAAGCTACCTACAGATTCAATGCGGTCCCTATCAAAATGCCAATGACATTCTTCACAGAAATAGAAAAAAACTCCTAAAATTCATATGAAACCATAAAAGACTCCAAATAGCTAAGGCAATCCAGAGTAAAAAAGAACAAAGCTGGAGGCATTACACTACCTGACTTCAAAATATACTACAAAGCTATAGTAATCAAAGCACAGTTTGGCATAAAAACAGATGTATGAATCAATGGAACAGAATAGAGAACCCAGAAATAAATCCACACATCCACAGCCAACTGATTCGGGGCGGGGGAAGGCGGGGTTAGGAGCTGGCAGGTTCAGGGATCCAAACCTTTGACCTTGGTGTTATCAGCACCATGCTCTCCCAAGGGAGCTAACCGGCCAGCCCTATAGACAACTGATTTTTAACAAAGGCGGCAAGAACATATATCGAGGAAAGAACAGCCTCTTCAATAAATGGCTCTGGGAAAACTGGATATCTATATACAGAAGATAGAAATTAAACCCCTATTTCTCTCCACATACCAAAGTCAACTCAAAATGGATTAAAGACTTAAATATAAGACCTGAAACAATAAAATTACTAGAAGAAAACATGGGGGAAACACTCCAAGACATTGGTCTGGGCAAAAATTTTATGGAGAAGACTTTTAAAAGCACAGGCAACAGAAGCAAAAATAGATACCTGAGATTACATCAAACTCAAAAGCTTCTGCACAGCAAAAGAAACAATCAACAGAGTGAAGAGGCAACCAACAGAATAGGAGAAAATATCTGCAACCTACTCATCCAACAAGGGATTAATATCCAGAATATACAGGGAACTTAAATAACTCAACAGCAAAAAACCAAGTAATCCGATTGAAAAACTGGGCAAATGGCCTGAACGGATATTTCTCAAAAGATGACACTAATAGTGAACAGGTGTATGAAAAAAATGCTCAACATCACTAATCATCACGAAAATGCAAATCAAAACCACAAAGCAATAATATTACCCCAGTTAGAATGGCCATTATAAAAAAGACGAGAAAATAACAAATGGTGGTGAGGATGCAGAGAAAAGGGAACTCTTATACACTGTTGGTAGGAATGTAAATTAGTACAACCATTACGGAAAACAGTATGGAGGTTCCTCAAAAAACTAAAAATAGAACTACCTTATGATCCAGCTATCCCACTGCTGTGTGTGTATCCAAAGGAAAGGGAATTATCTTACTGAAGAGATACCTGCACCTCCATGTTTATTGCAGCACTATTCACAATAGCCAAGATACGGAATCAACCTAGGTGACTGTCAACACGTGAATGGATGAAGAAAATGTAGTATATATACACTATGGAATACTACTCAGCCATGAAAAAAATTAAATCTTGTCATTTGCAACAACATGGATGAGCCTGGAAGATATCATGTTAAATGAAATAAATCAGGCACAGAAAGCTAAATACTTCATGTTCTCACTCATACGTGGGAGCCAAAAAAAAAAAATGTTGAACTTTTAGAAGGAGAGAGTAGAATTGTGGTTGGGAAGGGGAAGAAGGTGAGGAGACAGGGAGAAGTTGGTTAATGAACACAAAATTACAGCTATGTAGGAAAAATAAGTTCTAGTAGTATACAGTAGTGCTAGGCATCTATAATTAATAATAATTTATTATATGTTATCAAATGGCTAGAAGAGATCAGATGTTCTCATCACAAAGAAACTGTAGAAGTTATGCAATAATGAATATGCTAATTGCTCTGATTCAGTCATCATACATTGTTATACATGTTTTGAAATATAACTCTGTACCCCATAAATATGTACAATCAATATGTTTCAATTAAAAAATAAATTCCTTAAAAAAAAAAGTGGTAAGAGTTACTGCCAAGAGGGCTGCTTTAGATATAGGGTGGTTGGGTCACCTTTGAGGAGGAGATATCTGAGCTGAGATATGAAGGTTAAGGAGGGAGCCAGCACAGTGAAAATCCATGGTAACAGAGTTTTTATGACAGAGGAAACGGTAAGTACAAAGGTCTTCAGGTAGGAATGGATTTGGCATGGTCGAGGAAGCAGAAGAAGGCCAGAGACCAGAGATTACCAACTAGGAGAAAAGCAATATGAAATGAGATCAGAAAGGAAGGCAGAGACCAGATCATACAAGGGTACTTCAAAAAGTTTATGGAAAGATTCATATTATCTTTTAATTCTAATTTTGTCCATGAACTCTTTGAAGTACCCTCATATATACAAATGGGCTTATAATGTACCTTAATAGTCAGTTTTCCTGAGCAGTTTTAAATAAAAGCCGTTTCCTTCAATTCAACATTCCACGTTTCACACATTACAGTAATCATATGTAATACACTGAGACAGCTATTTAAATCATGCTATGAGACAGATGTGTCTGGATGAATAATTTAGCTACCAGTGTGAACCTATTTGAAGCCCAGCATCTGCACCCCTATGCAACTTTTCCCCCCCCACAGGGATCCATCCCCTTGACCTTGGTGTTATCAACACCACGCTCTAACAAACTGAATTAACCAGCCAGCCCACTATGCAGCTTTATTTTTGTTTAGTCTATGCATAAGTAAGTAGTAAAGCTTTTGGACACACTCTCTCTCTCTCTCTCTCTCTCTCTCACACACACACACACACACACACACACACACATCCTGGAAAGAAATCTCTTGGGAATTATTGACAGGAGTGTACAGAAAGTGAAAAGATCTAAGCAAGTGATAGTTCAGCCAGATAGTATCTTGATACATGCCTTTAATACTGTATTTACAATTTCTTTGTGCCCTCTAGGTGTTATTACATTTCATGGAAGAAATTACATACTATAGCAATACTTAAGAATCTGGGTTTCTGTAAATACCTGGGGGAACATCTAATGTCTATCATACTGTTCCTAAAAATTCTGGGGTACATTTATTTGCAAACTCTTCCTTCATACATAATTCAAAGTAATGTTTAGCCTGAAATATAATAAATTCTGAATTTCTGTACTACAATTTAATATTTTAAATTATGAATTATGTTCCTAATATTTTTTTTTCCTTTTTGTCTTTTTTACTGACCGGTAACGGGATCGCAACCCTCGGTGTCGCACCCGTACCGGGGACCGGCAACGGGATCGCAACCCTCGGTGTTGCGCCCGCACCGCGCTCAGCCAGTGAGCAGGAACCGGTCTCCACGTGGGATCCGAACCCTCGGCGGGAGCGCTGCCACACTCCCAAGCGGCGCACTCTCCAGCGCACCACTGGGCCGGCCCTGTTCCTAATACTTGAAACTTTACCACCTGAGGCTCAGAGAATGGAAAGAAGGTAAAATATCCTTAAATTTACCAATCTATTCAGAACATGAAAAATATCAAATTTTTACAGATCATTAGAGATTTTATTCATAATAGCTAATTAGAAAGCAAACAATTCCTCTGCTGTTTATTATTTGGAGGAGGAAACTACCTTTATTAACTCTAGAATCTAATCCCTAAGAATTTCCAAACATTTTATAAATTTATTAGTAACACTAATAAAATTAGTAACACTAATAAAAATAGACACATGGAAGTAGGAATATAATTCAGAGATTGGCTAATAAATCCAAGATAATTCCAAAATTGCACCTCTGAATACTGACTCCTATTCAGGTGTTGTAACTGTTGCTGTAATGTAATGTGCCCTGTCTGGTCTTGGGAGATTATTGTTGTGAAGCACCATAATTTCAACCCCCCACTGGCTCATATGAGGCACAATCTAGACCTATGAGGAGGGGAGAAAAGGGAGACAGAGCCACAAAAATTTCAGAATGTTTATGAATTATTTAAAAACACCTAAAAAATTACTATCTTTTCAAGAACAGATACAAAAAAAGAAAAAAAGAAATTGGCTTCACTGTTCCTGAAACTGCCTAGTTTTGCAATATTGTTCCAACTCACTTTCTTTGGAAGGAAATCCAAATGGTTAATAAATATACAAATAAAACTTTAAAAATTTTAAATGCCCAAGGTTGGTATGGAGAAATGGGAAACCTCATATATTACTGCTGGGAGTATAAATTGCTACAAACTTTCTGAAGGGCAACTTGATAATATGTCACAAAGCCTTAAAGGAAATTCATACTTTTTGACCCAGCAATTCCATTTCAAGGAATTTGTCCAAGGAATTATTCATGGATATGTGCAATAATATAGCTAGAAGGAGATTCATAGCAGCATTGATTATAATAACTCAAAACTAGAAACAAACCAGATAATTAATAAGTAACTTATTTAAATAAATTATAAAAATAAATAAATAGATTATGCTACATCAATAAAATAGAATTTAGGTTGTCATGAAAGGAGGGTATGATTGGGCTGGCTGGTCAGCTCAGTTGGTCAGAGCTAGGTGTTATAACACCAAAGTCAAGGGTTCAGTCGCCAAAAAGCAAAAAACAAAACAAAAAGAAAAACTTAAGTCATATCCTCTGAACAAAACCTCCCATGGCTTTGCAAGCTATTTGGAAAAAAATCTAAAATCTTATCACAGCCTATAAGGCCCTAAGTGGCCTGGTTCCTGGCTCTCCCTCCAACATCACCGAGGAACACTATCCCTCCCCTGTTCAGCTCTTCTTGCTCTTTCTCAAGCAGCTCCAGGTTCAGGAAATTTTCACTTGCTGTTCCCTCAGCCTGGAGCACTTGTTCCTTGGCCAGCTCTATAGCCTACATCCTCACTTCCACAGAGAGGACTTCCCACCACACTATATCTTCTTTCTCAAGCAGCTCCAGGTTCAGGAAATTTTCACTTGCTGTTCCCTCAGCCTGGAGCACTTGTTCCTTGGTCAGCTCTATAGCCTACATCCTCACTTCCACAGAGAGGACTTCCCACCACACTATATCTTCTTCCTATGCCTCATTTTTCTTCATTCCATTCACTACCACCTGATGTATTATGAAATTATTTTTTGGTATGTCTCCCTCCACTATAATGTCAGTTCTATAACAGCAAGGACTTTGTTTTGTATTCTGCTGTATCTCTAATGCCTTGGATAAGTGCCTGGCTTAAAGCAGGCATTCAGGAAATATGATGAATGAATTTGCTGAATGAATGACATGGAAAAAATATTAAGTAAAAAAGGTGATGCAAAACAATATGTATAGTATGATTTCATTATCTACGTACCCATTGAACAATAGAAAAAAAGGTAAAGAAGATGTAAATCAAAATGTTATCAGTGTTTAAATTGTCAGTGGTTTATAGGCACACTTTATAATTGCTTTTCTACTTCGTAAAGTTTCTGCAATGGACAAGCATTACTTAAGAAAAAAGGTGTGCATTTTTTTTAGTAATGAATAACAACCTACCAGTCCATTTAAGTTCTTTATGTTGTTTCTTCCTAAAGACAATATCCTCAAGTTTTCTGTAGTGGAAAGAAAGCAATTTTGTGTTTATGAGAATCATATTATACAACTGTTGTAAATCTAGTATAACAAAGCTTTAATAATTTTAATATAATAAATATTCTGATATAATGAGTAAAAAAGGCTGTATTAATAAATGGGTAATCAAGTAGGAAATAATATTGACCTATCATCTAAGATAAACACTACAACTATAATTTCACATCATGCCAATATTAAATTCAAAAATGATTAGCTATTTAGAATACTTAAATTGATGGCTAGTAAAAATATTATAGGGATAAAATAAGAGTAAAGAAGATTTTAACTTTAAGTTTGAGGGCACATATATTTCAAATCTTTTAAAGTACAAGAACTCTCACTACAAAATAGAAACATTTATGTATAATCCACCTCACTCCACAAAGTATTAGAAGTGAAATAAAATAAATTTGGTATTTAAAAATTTTTTGGCTTTCAATCTTTTAAATAATTAGATTGTTATTTGGTTAAAAAATGAAATGCCTATTTGTATTTCTCAAAAGGATGTTTCTATTTATATATCTATAGACTATTTCTGGAGGAGAAAAAAGAAAGTAGAAACAGTGGTTGCCTTGGGGGAGGAACTGAGAGTCTATGGTCAGAAGAAGACTTATTTTTCAATGTAACTTCTTCTGAACCATTTGGATAAAACCACGTCCACATAATATTTTTTCAAATTAAAAAAAAAATGATTTCTAGTAAAACACAGGAAATCCCATTTCTGTTCTAAGAAACTACTGTGACGATTTTTGCATAAGTTACACATTTAGTTTTCACAACTTAAACTTCTATAACTACCTTGTCTGATATGGTAATCACTAGCNCTTGGGGGAGGAACTGAGAGTCTATGGTCAGAAGAAGACTTATTTTTCAATGTAACTTCTTTTGAACCATTTGGATAAAACCACGTCCACATAATATTTTTTCAAATTAAAAAAAAAATGATTTCTAGTAAAACACAGGAAATCCCATTTCTGTTCTAAGAAACTACTGTGACGATTTTTGCATAAGTTACACATTTAGTTTTCACAACTTAAACTTCTATAACTACCTTGTCTGATATGGTAATCACTAGCCACATGTGGCTATTTAATTAGTTAAAATTAAATGCAATTAAAAATTCAGTTTCTCAGTCACATTAACCACATTTCAAGTGATTAATAGCTATATATGGCTAGTAGGAACTGTATTGGAACAGTGCAGATAGTTCTATTGGATGGCACTATTCTATAACATACATAATTCAAGGGTTAAGAACACAAATCCAATTAACTGAGTTTCAATCTCAGCCCCACAGGGAAGCAACCTATATGTGTGTGTGTGTTGAGCATAAATATACACACATATATATATATAAAGTGTGTGTGTGTGTGTGTGTGTGTGTGTGTATCAGGCATATACAACTTTGGTTTTAATTTATTTTACTGAAAAAATTATTTTAAATTCTCTGAGAAACAAACTTTCAGAACAAGGTATTTTAAGAGTGATCTTTCATGCAAAATGGTTTACATATTGAAAGAAGACTCCATGTGAGGAGTTGAACTGTGTCCCCCTCCCAAATTCATATATTTAAGTCCTTACCCCCAGTATCCCAGAATGTGACTGTATTTGGAGACAGGGCCTTTAAAGAGGTAATTAAGGAAAAATTAGACCATATGGGTGGGCCCTAATCCAAAGACATGGGAATCCTTATAAGAAAAGGCAATGAGGACACAGACAGACACAGAGGAAAGACCATGTGAAGACAGAGGGAGAAGGCCATCTACAAGCCAAGGAGAGAGACCTCAGAAGAAATCAACTCTGCTGACACCTGGATCTCAGATTTCCAGCCTCCAGAACTGCGAGAAAATAAATTTCTGTTGTTTAAGCCACCCAGTCTGTGGAACTTTATTATGGCAGCTCCATACACCTATAAATATATGAAAACCAAATATTTAAGAAACTCATATAGGGGCCGACCCCGTGGCTCACTCGGGAGAGTGCGGTGCTGGGAGCGCAGCGGCAAGGGGTTCGGATCCTATATAGGGATGGCCGGTGCATGTGGGGCTGAGCATGGTGCGGGCAACACCAAGCCAAGGGTTGCAATCCCCTTACCAGTCACAACAAAGAAAAAAAAAAAAGGAAATCATATAATTAGTTATTCTTTAAATTTAAAAATATGGGGAAAATTACCATTTTCTTTTTTTCTCTTTCATGTAGAATAAAACTTATTCAAAAATGTATTCATTCTGGGACCGGCCCGTGGCTCACTTGGGAGAGTGTGGTGCTGATAACACCAAGGCCAGAGGTTTGGATCCCTATACAGGGATGGCCGGTTGGCTCACTTGGGAGAGAGTGGTGCTGACAACACTAAGTCAAGGGTTAAGATCCCCTTACTGGTCATCTTTTTTTTAAAAAAAAAAATGTATTCATTCTTCACATACTTATTGAGCATCTACTACTATATACCAGGAACAGTGATAAGCACTTGCACTATCATAGTGAAAAACACATAAAAATTCCTGCTATCATGGACCTAACATTTGGCAGATAATAAACAAAATTAATAAGTATATTAGATAGTGACAAGTGTAAAGGTGAAAAGAAATAAGCAGATAAAAGAAATGAAATGTCAGGGGGTTGAAAGAAGTTGACATTTTAGATAGAAGGTGACTTCTAAGTAAAGACCCAGAGGAAGTTGAGGCAGTTAGCAATGTAGGTATCTGGAGAAAGAACATTTACAGGCAGAGAGAACTCCAAGTGTAAAATCTTTGAGGTAGGACCACATCAGAGTGTTCCTACAAGTGTTCATAAAACACAAGAGGCTAACTGAGAGAATGAAGGAAGAGTAGGAAGACATGAAATTAGAGAAATAATAGGCCTCACAGGGGATATGAGAGAGAGGAGTCAAGAAATTACCAAGGGGTTTGGCCTGAGCAACTGAAAAAATGGATTTGTTGATGAGATAGAAAGACACACAGGAGTTGGTTTAGCTGGGGTGGTAAGACATCAGGGCTCAGTTTTGGACATATTAAGTATGAGATGTCTATCAGACATCCAGTAGAAATATCAGGCAACTGCATGTGCGGATCTGAAGTTCAGAGGAGAAATCTGGCCTAGAGATTTAAATTTGGGAGCCATCAGCATATATAGATGGTAAAGCTATGACTCAGGAGAAGATGATCTAGGGAGTAAGTGAAGATAGAAAAGAGAAGAGATCTAAGAACTGAGTCCTGGAGCACCCCAATATTTACAAGTCAGAGACATGAGACGGGGAAAAAATGGTCAGAAAGACAGGAAGAAATCAGGAGGGTACAGTTTCCTAGAAGGCAAATACTGAATGTGCTCCAAAGAGGAAAGAGAATTCACCCATGTCAAAATACACTGATTGAGGGCTGGCCCGTGGCTCACTTGGGAGAGTGTGGTATTGATAACACCAAGGCCACGGGTTTGGATCCCTATATAGGTATGGCCAGTTAGCGCACTTGGAAGAGCATGGCACTGACAACACCAAGTCTAGGGTTAAGATCCCCTTGCCGGTCATCTTTAAAAAGAAAAAAAAATAATAAAAATAAATAAATAAAATACACTGATTGATCAATTAATATGAGGACTGAGAAACGACCTCAGAAATAGAAGATAACAAATATTTGCAACTCTTTCAATGATATTATCTAACTTAACTTGGTAAGACAAGTGAAAAGATATGACGTTGATGGGTGGAAGGGGGAAAGGGGGGGAAGGAGGGGATAGGAAAGAGGGAGGGAAGAATCGGTAAAGGGACACGAAAATCAACTACATTGTATATTGATAAAATAAAACAAAAAATTTTTAAAAATTTTTTTAAATTTAAAAAATACTATCTAACTTAATACATAAAACTTCTTTTTTTTTTTTTTCTTTTTGTCTTTTTTTTTCGTGACCGGTAACGGGATCGCAACCCTTGGTGTCGCACCTGTACCGCGACCAGCAATGGGATCGCAACCCTCAGTGTCGCGCCCGCACCGCGCTCAACCAGTGAGCAGACCGGTCTCTATATGGGATCCGAACCCTTGGCGGGAGTGCCGCCGCGCTCCCAAGCACCGCACTCTACCAAGTGCGCCACCGGGCCGGCCCATAAAACTTCTTTTTTAAAAAATGCTCATGAAAATGGTATTGAATAGCTAAAAATGTCTTATTACCGCACTCTACCAAGTGCGCCACCGGGCCGGCCCGTAAAACTTCTTTTTTAAAAAATGCTCATGAAAATGGTATTGAATAGCTAAAAATGTCTTATTTATGACTGTACAGGGAAATAAATTATAATATCAAAGTTAGATTAAGTATCCTAACATAACACAATTACATAGTTTCCATATTTTATATGCTGCATAAGTAGGACAGCACTAGAAGGAAAGTATTGTCGCTTTCTTCATACAAAGTCCTGATGAAAATCAAAACAGAGATTTCAAGGTTTATGTTTATTTGTAACCTGAAGGAATAAAGCATAATGTTTTACCAAAAATACAAGGCAACAAAATTTATTTTCTAATCTTTAACATGAAATTATTAATATTCATATTATGCAGATTTTTAGTCATGTCATGCAGTTTTCCAGTCACAGTTTTGGTATAAATTGCCACTAGGGTTATTCTGCCTTATAAGCCACCTATTAAAATAGGCCTCTTATCATAACATAATAGGCAAGACTAGAGTGTTTGGGAAAGGGGAAGGGTAGGAGGCAAGCTAGAGTCATAAATTTAATCCTTCGTATAGATCAGTTAGTTTCTTTTTACTTCATAGTAACAGATAAAACATACAATCATTAAAAGAGCTAAAATGAGAGGAGTTAATTATAGCAAATACCTATACTCTCTCATTTCATGTCTATGGCAGATATCAATAATTGATCAAGGCACTATTTTCCACTGAGTTTTTGGAACTCTTCTTAACGCAATTTTCCTGAGAGTCACTACCAATTGACCAAAGTTAGAATATGAGTTAAAATCTATTGCCCACCCAATGGAGAAGGTCACTGATTTTCATTATTATCAGAGTCATGTTTTTATGAAAAGCATATAACCTGTCACGATAAATAATATTTTATCAATGTAGCCTCATTTAAGCAAGTTACTTTAATTACAGACAAAGAAACTGAGGCAGAGAATAAAATTAAATATCCTAAAATTTTTAATGATTGTGCAAAAAATTGGAATAAATTGAGTCATTTTATGCACACAGCTCTAATAGTAAATGCTTCCTCTCCAGCACAGTATGAGTATAAATACTGAATGTCAACTTTGAGTAAGATACTGGGGGTAGGAAAGGATTAGAATAGAAGATAAAAACATTAATAAGTTATGATGCTTGCCCTCAAGGAGCTCACTGTTTAAATAGCAAAACTTATTCCCAACTAACCATAATAATGGCTAATATGTCTTGAGCACCAGGCACAATTCTAAGTACTTTATCCTAACTCATTTAATCTTTTTTTTTAATACTCATTTAATCTTCACAATAACTACATGAGTTAGGCAATTGTTATTATAATCCAAGGTAGACTGTTAAAAATATTCCCAAAGATGGAGTAATTAATTATGACAATGGAGATTAGGAAAATCTTTGGGGGCCAGACATTCAAACATGGCATTGTTAATCTTAATCTTTGTTTTTTGTAAGATTTTCCTGTTAGAGGAAGGCACTGTTCTCAGTGAAAAGCACTGCATTAATAAATGTGCAAAGTCATAAAAAAGAATGGTATGTTTGAGTTTGAATTGGGTGGTACAAGCTTTTAGGTGACTTAGAATGCAACATTAAGGCATTTGGTTTTTACTAGGCAAAAGAGAGCCATTAAAAGGTCTCTGATCGGGAGGAATGACATCAAAATAATATTTTTAGAAAGAACACTCTGGTACCAGTGATGAAGGTCAACTGAAGAGCAGGAAAAAAAAGGAGGAAAGAGATCAATTAGGAGGCTATTGCAAAAGTTGCTTTTCAAACTGTAGGTAATGAGCCACTAATAGGTTGTTAAATCCACTTACTGGGATATGATTAGCATTGAAAAATAATAAAATAAATAATTAAAAATATATAGTGGAACCTATGCTATAAGGATAAATACTGTTTTGCAAACTTTATTTTATATGTGTCTGTGTATTTGATATGCATATTCATAAGAATGCATAATGAATTCAAATGTATTTCTTACTGTAGAAAATGTTCAAAAATGCTTGAAAAACATAATCTAAGGGGAAGATGATGAAGGTCTAAATTAAAGTAATAGCTCCTGGGAATGGAAAAGCAACAAATTATTTGAGAGCTCCTTCAAAGAGTAGATTTATAAGAACTTAGCAATGAACTTGGATGTAGGGCATAAGGAAAGAAAAGAGAAAATATGGTAGGCTACATAATGGTTCCCAAAAGATACCTACATCCTAAACCTGGAACCTGTGAATGTTACCTTATGTGACAAAAAAAGTACTTTACAGATGTAAATAAGGATCTTCAGATGGGGAGATTAACCTCAATATCTGGGAGTACCCTAAATGAAATCACATGTATCCTCCTCATAAGAGGAAAGCAGAGATTCGACACAGACAGAAGAAGCAATGTGACCCCAGAGGCAGATAATGAAGTGATGCAGTCACAAACCAAAGAATGTGGCAGCCACTAGAAGCTGGAAGAGACAAGAAAAAGTTTCTCCTCTAAAGGCTCCAGAGGGAGCATGGCTTGATTTTGGCATAGTGAAACTGATTTCAGACTCCTGGCCTACAGAACTGTGAGAGAATAAACATCTGTTATTTTAAGCCACCAAGTTACAGCAGCCACAAGAAACTAATACAGACAGTCAGAGGCTTTTGCAACTGGAAGGATAGCGATGTCATTAAAAAGGATAAGGAGCACAGGAAAAACAGGGATGGTGAGGAATTAAATATTAAATATGGCAAGTTTGAAATACGCACAAAACAAATCTGAACAAAGAAACATATCACAAAAATCTGATTTTCTTTTTAAGACATCTCAATTCTAACTCTATAAAAGCTTTAATATGTCAATAAAATGTTTAGGTCTTATATTCTCTCTAATTTTCTTTGGATAATCAAATTTAAGACACATGGTTTACATATTCTCTCTGTTATCTGACAATTGCTGTGGTTAAAACAGGTGCCAGCTTCTCTGGAATGTTTATTCCAATAACTGGAGAATCTAAGAACCATCTGTTACTGTAGATTACTTACTTAAGCCATTCAGGTTGGCAATTTTTTCAATGCAGTTTGTAGACAGTGAAAGCTTCCTTTAAAAGAACAGAGAAAATCTTGAATTAATACAATAAATTTAAATTGTATATCAGAAATTATTGCTCAACAATAGTGCCCATGAAAGATAATATTTGTTATATTTCTTTTTTACACTGAATCCTTTTTACCCCCTCAGTTATGGCATTTATTCCTTCATTTTGAAATCTTTTTATTCCTCTCTGATTACAAAAGTTAATACACACACACTCATTGTAGAAAATTTAAAAAAAAAAAAAAAAAAAAGACCTTTTTGAGGGCAATCTGGTGTTATTTATTAAAATTTTTTTTTTTGTCTTTTTCATGACCGGTAAGGGAATCGCAACCTTTGGTGTGGTGTCGCCCACACCGCACTCAGCCAGCGAGCGCACTGGCCATTCCTATATAGAATACGAACCCGCGGCGGGAGCATGGCTGCGCTCCCAGTGCCGCACTCTCCCGAGTGCGCCACGGGGTCGGCCCTAAATTTTTTAATGCATGTATTCTTTGATCCTGTATTCCACTTCTAGGAATACATCCTACTGAAATACTAATACAAATGCCAAAAGATATATGAACTAGATTATTGTATTATTGTAATAGCAAAAAAAAATTTTTTTTAACTCCATAAACAACTGTCAACTGAGGAACAGACAATGTAATACTATGCTGCCACTAAAACAAATGAGATTGGGCTACAAATAGTGACTTGGGAAAATGTCCATGAAATATAGTTGAGTTAAAAAACCATCTACAATCCCTTTTTGTCTAAAAAAAAAAAAACAGAACTGTGTATGAGGGTACTTCAAAAAGTTCATGGAAAGATTTATATTATCTTTTAATTCTATTTTTCCATGAACTTTTTGAAGTACCCTCCTGCATGCATTTGTGGAGATTTTTTTTTTTTCCCGCATCTGTTAAGGCATTCAGAAATGTATATTGAAAAAAGTCATATGTAATCCTCACTGCCCCACATATCCCCTCAGAGATAATTACTTTTAATAGTTTTTATATATTTTTATTTTTCTATACATATTTTAATTATATAAAAATAAAATTTTAAAAGGGAGCATTTTAGGGCCGGCCCGGTGGCGCACTGCTACAGTGAGCTGCTTGGGAGCGTGGTGGCGCTCCCGCCGAGGGTTCGGGCAAGGCCAAAATTAAAACCCAAGTAAGTTTGACTCTAGAGCATTTGTCTTACCCTTTATGCTTTGAATTAAAAAAGAATTATTCTCGCCTCCCCCCACCCCCCGCTTGAAACAGCAAAAGTAATTACTGTACAGTGCAAATTTCTGGTCAAATCTGTATATTTTCTAGTCATCCCCCACTCCTGAGAACTACCAGTGAAAAATCTAGGAATACATTTGGGAAATTTCTTTAATTCTTGTTTAGACAACCCACCCAAAGAGACTGTCAGCAAAAATATAAATGGGTTGATTCTTTCTAAGAAGTTTCCAAGGTGCTTTGTTATGGGGTACAAAATCTTCTCAAATTTGTTAGCCTGTGAGATGGCTTTAGATAAAAAAGATACCTGACTACTGTGAATCATGCTTGAAGCCAAAAAAGCAACCCAAGGTGGATTTTTATGTTATACACTATGCTCTTATCATAAAGAACAAGTTGTATACAATAACTAAATATGTTTGCTTTTCCCTTTACTCCCAAAGACAAATATTACTTTAATGCATAGGTTCACAAATACGTATCTAAGAATCACACAAGTTGTTTACTGCAAATACAGATTCCTAGGTTTCACCAGTAGATATTGAACTTACTCGCAATTAGCAAGTGTGGACAAGGATGCATCCATCTTCTCTATAGGGGGAATCTGGGCATAAAGCTTTATCTCTTTGGCATCAGATGGCCTCTGACCAGTTTTCTCTTCCTATGAGAAAAATAAATTTGGAAGAAAATAATCCTTGATTGTAATGTAGAACCAAAAGAGGCCAGAATTTCTCAAGGCTTTTCAATGTTTATTTTTAAAACAATTATTAGAATTTAATAACTGTTTATTAACTTTTGACCATTCACTTCTTGGAAACATTTACTTACTGACCCTGATAATCAGGCTTCTACATAGATGCATCAGATAATTGTAAGGGCCCTACCAAAAGGAAATGAGGAGAAAAGAAAATAACTTTTATTTTTGTAAGATTTACAATCCTTGAAGAGTCCATCAATTTATAAGAAAAAACAAAACACAACAACAAAACATATTCCTGGAAAGAATTCCTTGTCCCTAAACAACCTTTTCTTAAATGTCAGATTCAAACATGTAAGATCAACTGTACTCTTTGTCATCTCATCTTCCTTTTTCTATATACAGTTCAGCCTGAGCTAGAACCCCCAAATACCAAGACATTCTCTTTTCAACACAGCTGAGGTCAAAGCTGTCTGATCTACTCTAATATACTACTAAATCCTACCCTAGAGTTTAATTTCAGTACTAAGCACACAATTTAAAATTTAATTACCAGTATATGCTTCCTAACAATATTTTTTTTTTTCCTTTTTGTCTTTTTTCGTGACCGGCAACGGATCGCAACCCTTGGTGTTGCTCCCGCCCCTCACTCAGCCAGTGAGCTGCCGGTCTGTATGTGGGATCCGAACCCTCGGCGGGAGCGCCACCGCGCTTCCCAAGCAGCGCACTGTAGCAGTGCGCCACCGGGCTGGCCCTAACAATATTTTTTTAAGCACCTCATTACCTAGTTCTCTCTCTCCAAAAAAACTGGAAGCTCAGGGACCATTTCCTTTACTTTTCAACGTTTTCTATAACTATGCAATAAAAAACACACAAAAGGCTCATTTTAAAAAATCGAATCACCACATTGATAATAGAAAATATATAATCAGTTTGAAAGAAAGAGATCTAATACACATTCACTCAGTACTTCTTTTTGTGTCATATATTTGCAGATTAGGGGAGGGGAAATTGACATCTAGTAGATCCTCAATAAATGTTGGGTTAATCAATGCAAGAGTGTGCTTTCTGTCTTCAAATTATTATTTTGTAAGGAAGGTCAAAGATTTATGGCAATAATATAATCCAGAAATAGAGTCTACAAACTAAAACAAAAAAAAAAACCACTCAATATTTTAAGTTAATACAATAAAGTTCTAAAATCCGATGTAAGGAAATCAAATCCAACACTGAGTCTATTCCACACTTTTTTTCTTTAACTAAACCGAATTTTCATTAAATATTTAACCAAACAGAAATGAATTTTTTAAATGCAATTAGAGTAAACAAGAAATTTATAAGCACTAAAACAGGAATTCAAATATTTCATTATTCTATCCACTTTTGTCTATTTTCCTTAGACACAAAGGCTCCTGAAAGACTTTTTATTCAAAGCCTACCTACAAAAGCAAACAGCACATGATTATGCAAAAAATTACTGATAACATAGACAAATAAATTATCACTGGGCACAGAAGTTAAAGAGCCATCTCTGTACTCTATGGAAATTCTATTTATATTGCTGAATTACAACTGTTCAAACTTAATAGAATGTTATAATATTAAGAGAGCTGGCCAGTTAGCTCAGTTGGTTAGAGAGGTACTATAACACCAAGGTCAAGAGTTTGGATCTTGATACAATTTGGCCAGCTGCCAAAAAAAAATTTTATAGTTTATATTTAATACATGGTTTTTTCAATGTCATTTCCTTTCTAATATTACCAAATGCTTTAGTATTTTTATTTAATTTTTATTTCAGTAGTCTACGCATCATTTACATTTATCCATGTTGGCTATCTCTGTTCTAACCTCCAAGAAGCTAAAACCCTCATCTATGTGAAGCCTAAATAATCCACAACACATAACCACCCTATCACTTGAAAATGACATGCAGTTTAGTGATGATAAAGTTGAAAAAGAAAATGTACTACAACATAGAGATCCCAGCCATTTTACAGCAATAGATGAATCAGCCTTTTCCATATCTAAATTTTCCAGTGGTCAGATTTTTTAATTGAAATTTTTATTAAGATATGTGAAGATCCACCTGCACTTATAAAAAATAATACTGAGAGACCCCTTGTACAGTTTTCCCAGTTTCCCCCAATAATAACATTTTGCAAAACTATAGTATAATATCATAAGTAGGGTATTTCTATTAATACAATCCAATGACTTTTTCATATTTTCTCAAATTTACTTGTACTCATTTGTATGTATGAGTGTGTATGTGTTTTTATGTGTGTATTAAGTCCTACACAATTTTATCACATTTGTAGGTTCATTTATCCACAGTCAAGATAGCTGAACAGTTCTAATACCGCAAGGATCCCTTGTATTAAATGGTCAGATTTAAATAACCACCCAAAATTTTTCCTTGTATAGTTTCTAAAAGAAGGAAAAACTCATATACTCACCCATCTGGCTAGAGCTTCTTTGATTGTTGTTGCTTTTGCCTTAAAAATAAAGAAGAAAAAACAAATCTGTCTTTATTGGTGTGATTTGTTGATTCAATTTTTATGCAATAATTATTAGGCTTGACTTCTAATCTTAAAAAAATAACTCTTTCTTTGAGACTTTATATGCAAAGAGGATGTTTTAATTTCCTGAAATTAGAATGATTTATTTAGATACCACTCAGAGAAAATAAGGAAATCATTCTGTAATGCCCATATACTTCACTCTCACTGGGTTTACAAAACATGTATAGCTTTCAATACTTGATATTAAAATATACCTTATTTCGTTGTTTCTAAAATCTATATATTTAAAATTTTTTTTTCCTTTTTGTCTTTTTTCGTGTCCGGCAACGGATCGCAACCCTCAGTGTATTGTTTCTAAAATCTACATATTTTAAATTTTTTTTTTCCTTTTTGTCTTTTTTCGTGTCCGGCAACGGATCGCAACCCTCAGCAACCGAACCCTTGGCCTTGGTGTTATCAGCACCACACTCTCCCAAGTGAGCCATGGGCCGGCCCTTTTTAAATTTTAACATTGAAGTTTGGGTGCATCTTACATTCAGGAACAATTTGCAATTGCTGTGGCCAGGTGGCAGTGGTGAAATTTTAGAAAAATATTAACCATTTTATTTCATATACACATATTCCTTTTTACACTTGCAAAGGATAAGTGATAAAAATCTATATGCTTAAATAAAGTTAAAAGAACTTTATCAATAAGTACAAAATAAAAATTTTAAATGATAAGAAAACATTTGTCATAGTTTAATTCCAACTTATTTTTCTTTCTCAGTAGAACAGGAAATAATGTTGCACCTTATAATTAATAACATCTCAGATTCAATTTAATATATTTACAACTTTAAAGGTACAAAAAGGAAGACATCCTTAATAGAGTAGTGCTGGAGCTCACTAAACAAACAAACAGAAAAAGAGGAACACCAAACAATAACAAAAAGAAAGTTTAAAAAGTATATACTTTTTAACCCTTGGGTTAAAAAGAAAATTATAAAATAAAAAAATAAAAGACAAAAAAATGTCAAAATCTGAAGAATATAACACTGAGAAGGAAACATAGCTTAAAATACATTTATCAGAAAACATGACATAGAAAACAAATGAATTAAGCATTCAAGATATTTGAAAAAGTACATCATTGCAAACCCACAAAAGGAAACAGAAGGGAGGAAGTCGACGAAAACCAGAACGGGGGGAAAAAAGATTAACAAAACTAAAAGTTGGTTGTTAAATTTCTGGCAAGCCTAACTGAGCAAAAAAGAGATACATAAATTAAAAATATAGAATGAATAAGGGAAAATACAGACACCATGGAGGTTTTTTGGAGTTTTTTTGGCAGCTGGCCAGTACAGGGCAGCCACCACAGAGATTTTAAAAATAAAATATCATAAGCAAATATATGGTAATAACTTTTTTTTTTTTTTTAAAGATAACCGGTAAGGGGATCTTAACCCTTGACTTGGGGTTGTCAGCA